TGGCTTGTTGTCAATCGCGAAACTACACCTATGCCACAACACGCACCCTTCTTGAAGTCAGAAGCAGAGTTTAAACCCTAACAAAGCCGCACGCGAAATCATCCCTGCGTGTGGAGCGGTTTTCGGGAGTCGAGATCCGCGCTGCTTGATCGACACGAGCGCCAGGATTTTGCTGGAAGTGTTCGGCCTGCCGAAGATCTGCCAAACGCGGGTCCTTGTTGAAGACGCTGAAGTGATGAGAACTCTCAGAGGTGTGATTCTCAGAAACTATGAACTGACAGAGACTATATCTCGAGAAGTGTGTTTGCTAGTCAAACACAGAACAAAGGACCTGAGTATACAGAGTCCTAGACAATCAAAGGAACCTGAGTGTGCAGAGTCCTAGACAATCAACAGTCCTTGGAACTATCCGCAAGCGGAGAGCGTAAAATATGTTCCGCGCGTGCACATGTACCATCACGGCAGTGAGCGACAGGACAACCGGCTTTCTCGAGCAGTCGCATTCTGCTGGCTGTCTTTCCATGCCACGTGAGACCTGATGCCGCGACCCGAGCGTTCGAACGCTGTTTCGCAGCAGTCCATTGTCTAGGCTTACCCATGGATCGCCTCCAGCGAGCGAACCTGTCCGGAACAAAAGCGCTCAAACGCTCAATTTAAGCATACTGGAAATCAATATCCATGCCTGTTGATTGCGAAACTCTCCTGCGAGAGATTCCGGCACCGAGCAACAAGGGGAGCATCACGGAGACAATGCCATTTATGGACGCGTGCAGGCCGAAAGCCACTAGTGTGCGATGGACATCCATTTATCCCAAAAGATACACCTCGCGCCAATGCGCGAAGGATCAACATCAGCATATGCGATCAATGCATGCTGCGATTACCCTCAACGACTGCTCTGCCATGGTACATGACTGCGGGCTTTGCGATTGTCCGGCAACAGGCCTGCGCCGTCCAACGTCCTGGACCCTCCGTAGCGAAGGCTTGATCACGGCGAAACTGCCTTGTATGACCCCTCTTACCGAGTGTTCTATCGCCGAACAGCATGAGTTGTTTCTATTCCGCGAGCCTTGAGCGTTCATTCTCGTGTGCGTAGTCGCCTGGCTTGAAAGAAAAAGTCAGCTCGCGAAGATCGACAGTCCTCGCGATCCAAGAACAGACCGACCATCTCGAAGATCAATGAGCGTAAAAACGACTTCGGACTGGTTGATCCAGCACTTGCTTGGACATCACCGACAGGAATCTAGGTTTCAACGTGGGAGCCTCTAAGATACCCCTACTTCACGTCCAGCACGCATACCCATGCGAACATTGCCCCGGCATGCCTATCTGCTCGCAAACTCGAGCCTCACGACTCTTGTTGGCATGATCATGAGCGGGCATACCTCCGCGAATCCCATCTCGCTGGGTCGACATGTGTCAAGGGGCATCTGAAGCATCTTAGAACTCGGCATATTCACGAGTCAAATGCAAACTTTTGCGCAGGATTCTGCAGGACGAGTCACAATCTTCTTCAGGTGTGCAGGCTCAATTTGGACAGAGTCCCCAGCTGTCAGCAGCCTGTTTTGAGACACATGGTCGGAGTCTACGAGTCTTGCTCAAGCCTCAAGGGTCCAAATGACTGACACAGTGCATCAAACTGCAAGCGGCCCCATCCCATCACTCCCGGAGCCTTTGGAAGTGCTTTTCGTCAAGGATACAAGTGGCGCAGAGTGGCTGCAAGCGTCCAATGCTGACCATGTCACTGTCACAGGGCATAGACTTCGAACCTTGAGTCTGATGAGCTGTGTTTGCTCTTCCGACTGAAGGCCTCGACTTCGTGCCGTTGACAAATTAGGACGCAAGGAAGCCGTGACGTGGACAATCTCAATCACTCCTCGATATGCGCCTATCCTCACATCTCAGGAAGGGCCTGCTGTGGCTGTCGATCCGGAGATTCTGTCAAGGAGTCAAGTAGAATACTTGAGGCCATTCATGGATTGCGATGGCGATTTGCGACGACGATAACCCCTTTCGTGACCTTGATGCTCGGACTCTATTCATTGTGGATTGAGCTCGTTGAAGGTAAGCCAGGAGATGGAAGCTTGCGGTCCCGTTCTCCCGCAATCACACCTATCGACGAGTTGAAGAGCTGAGAAGCACAACGTGGCAAGACCATGATCCACCCGACGCCTTGCGCGATGCTTTCCAGACTGGGCGATGCTTCAGAACAACCACTCCAACATCAGCTCGATCCTAGATCTAGAAGTGCTGTGGCAGAGGCTTGGTACCAACGTTTCACGAAGGTGTGGCTTGCGACTAGCCCTGCGAAGTTCAAACCAACCACGTTGGAGCCTCATCGGATTCTTTCGAAGTCTGAAAATGAGACCGCTGCAACACGATGCACCATGCTTCGAAGCGTATCACACCGAGCATCATCTCCGCTGGTACGGCCCATGTGGTTAAGAGGTACCAGCGTACCACACATCTCTGATGCATGCGATGTGTGCTGTCCCGTTCCAGCAGGGAAGTTTGTGGCGCACGGCAACTTTCGCGGATGGCAACATCGTGCTCCGCGATCTCAGCTGCCTGGGCAGAAACGTGTCTCACGAGATATGCTTTCGAAAGGATCGATTCAGTATCGAAGAAGCAGAAGCTTGTGAGTAGAACGTGGTCGAAGTTGCCGATGGCGGATCTGAACGAAACCTGCTGCCTCATGAACGCCACATTCGTGGTTGCGATTTGGTGATACGAATGATCAGTCACGAAATGCTGAGTGTACGAGGGACTGATATGACGAATTCCAGAAACACATTCATGGAGATTACGGATACGTTTGGCTTGAACGCGCCATACAGAACCGGGAGTAGGCACACGTGCTTAGCAGCGACTCGATTTCTCATGTCGAAACAACGGACTCCAAGAGTCTACAGCAGCACTGCACACGATCTCTCAGCTCTTCGATCACAGCTGAACATCTTGCCGGTCACCTCCGGTCACTTCTGCATGAATACGACTTCCTCCTAATAGTCTAGCTTCATCATTCAACGACCATTGCCCTACTAACCTCAGCTGATCCTACGCAAGTAACTCACAATCCAGATACCAACAATCTAACAACCTTCATGACGCGCAATGGACATAGCTCCGAATAGCGTCGATTTTCATGAGGCGCTAGACTAACGACCGATGTAGCGCGCTTTTTACAGTTCCAGTTCCCCAAAATCTAGCAAGATTTGCCCACTCTGCAACAACCAAACTTGGAAGGAAATCTACTACTAGCAAGCTAATAACTAGTGATCGATCTACAGAGTACCCAAAAGTCCGCCGAGCCTACCAACCAGATCCACCCGCGTTTAGTGGGAAAGTGTATCTTGATGACAGCCTGATGATGGGACTAGTTTCTGGGGGCGCTGGAGCCTGTGGTGGCCGACGGCGAGGGAGGTTTGGCCGGAGGCGGCGGCCACGCGCTCGCGGAGATGAAGTGGTGGCGCGCCGAATGAATGATGAACGAATGTGGTCGATGCCGTGTTTTCGCTCTGGATGGTGGGTTCTTGGCTTGCTGAATTGCGAAGTGAGTGATGCCAATGGCATGTTGAGTCGAAGAGCGTTCGATGCGTGTTGAGGAAGAGCACGCGAATCGACGGAGGCGAGCCTCCTCGGTTGAGAGTAGGAAATCTCAAGATTCCTGGCGTCGCTCATACTGGCACGTGTCCTTGCTACGATGCGAGTTGGCAGTGAGCACCATGCAGAGCACGGCAGAGCGAAGGGAAATTTTTCCTCTGGCGAAAAAAGTGCTTCGTATGGATGTTGTTCGGTCGCAGGTCTTTTGCCGGCAACGGCCTATCGACGTGCCTCAGACGCTTTCGATGCGGAATGCTGTTCTGGCTCACCGGATTGAAAAAGGTATTACTGCTGACAACATTGTTGAAGTGCTTCTCGATCTTTACAACGTTGGACCACAATATGTTGTGCAAACAGACTTCCGTCATGGGAATGTTTTTATGGAGTGCTGACTCTCGAGCAGCTTGTGTTGACGCAACCGTCTCCAAGATGAAGTTGGGGCGGAAGCCTTCGCTTGATCAACTGACCCAGTTGGCTTTGCTCTCTGCTATGTGGGCTCTATGCAAGTCGAGAGCAGGCAAGTAAAGCCAGGAGGAGACTTGTCAATGCCTGCAAGCAAGGACTAACGTCAACCTCATCCAGCTTCCTCCCTCTCATTTATAGCTTCGACAACAACATCTGCGGCATCGTCGACCGATTAGACTTGGGCCGACGATGACTCTGGCGCTGAACAACAAGCAAGATGAGACTATACTACACACCCTCTGCGTACGGAAATATGCCAAGATGATTCGAAACTAGTCAAAGGCTTTTTTCGGTTACGACGTGACAGCCGGGACTCCACATCGCTGAGGAAGAAGTGGAAAGCACCCGTACATGATTAATTGACACGCCGGCCACAATAATGGCTGCTCAGCAAGAGACTGTGCTCACCGGACCCAGTGCGTTCACTGAGTCTCTTGTCCTGCCATGTGGCACGGAAATAGTGGCCGATCTCAACGACGAAGGATTGCGAACTACTGTAGCAAGCTTGCATGAACAGGCTACTACAACCACGCTAGCTGTCTCCAGGACACAGGTCAAGACTCTCCAAGCAGTACTTGGCTCCGTACCCCAGATCCAAAGCTCGACTGGGCGAACGTGAATATGCGGCCAATTTTGACAGTTCACAATTCACAAATTCAACTTTCGCAGTACAAGCACCACTTGTGGCTTGGGAAACAGCATTGTTTCCGCCTTGTCACCGGCGAAGGATTGTTCGTGCGCCCAGACCACGTGCCTGAAGACCGGACATACCAGCAAGCCACGCGACGCGTCCTTGCTAGCCCCGAGCTGATCCCACCACACACGGCTAAAGCAGCCGTTGCGGTCCAATGCTGCAGGGACACTTTTAATATGCTGTCTCCACCTTTCGATTCCTCTCGACATCTGGAACGCTCATCACCTCGTTAGCAACCATGGCCGAGAAGAACCCTGATAGCAAGACGATGCCGAAACACATTGAAGAGCTGGAGAGAACTCACACGAACATCGATGTGATTGAAACTACTCAGGAAAGTCCCTATGGCGAGGTCAATTTCATGGGGACTTATGTCGCCGTTACATTGGCTTGTTGTGCGAGTTTCGCAGGTTTCATTATGCCTGTGACTTCACTTCAGCTGATCGAACGAGACTTGGGTGTGTCGCCGAATGCTATCTGGATCGCGTTGGGCTGGATTCTATTGTCTGCAGTGTCCTTCATCCTTCTGGGCCGCTTGTCTGATATTTTCGGTCGGAGATGGTTTTTCACTGGATGTACGGTGTCGGCTCTGATCGGATCGATTATTGGAGCTACAGCGCAGCAGACTGAGGTTTTGATCGCTGCGTCGGTTTTCCTGGGATTGGGTTCTGCTGGACAGCTTTCGTTTAATTATTCTCTTGGTGAACTTGTCCCCATGCGCCATCGTTTCGCGGTCAATGGTTTCATCTTCCTCGCGACTCTGCCATTTTCTGGTCTCGGTCCTTATTTGGCTCGTCTGATGATCATCAACACGAGTGCGGGCTGGAGAGGAATCTACTATTTGACTATTGGACTTAACGCTGCTTCTACGGTCTGCTGGGTTCTGTTCTACCATCCCCCAACCTTCGACAATTTACATCGCAACCGCACCATCGGAGATGAGCTGAGGGAATTGGACGTCGGTGGTATCTTCCTCTACGTCGCTGGCTTCTTCTTGTTCTTGCTTGGGTTGGCATGGGGTGGTACTGTACATCCTTGGAGCTCGGCATATGTGATTGCTCCGCTCATCATTGGATTCTTCACGCTTGTGGCTTTTGTGCTTTATGGTAAGTTGCATCTGCTCCATATCCGTGCATTTGACGTGCGAGCGCTGACAACGATATTTTATAACAGAGATCTTCATGAATCTTCGCCGCCCGCTTATCCCCATGCATCTTTTCCGCAATTTGGACTTTGTGATTGTGAATATCCTCTCCGCGGTCGGAGGCGTGGTTTACTATTCGGCGAATAGTGAGTACTCATCCGAAATGAAAAAAAGTCGAATTGTGCTGACCTTCAATAGCTTTATTCCCCATCATGGTCGCCTCGCTCTATACCACTGACCCTATCGAAGGCGGTCTCGTGGCCAGCTGCGTGGGCGCTGGAGTCTGTGCCGGCCAATTCATCGGATCCTGGATCGCTGTCCCCGGAGGTCAAATGAGACTGAAGCTCGTTTTCAGTGCCGTAGGGCTCTGTGCATTCGTCGCAGGACTTGCTGGTGCAACTGACAGTAAAGCTGCGGGCTCTGCACTTGCTGTCTGTGGAGGACTGATGGTTGGCCTTTTGGAGGTTATTGTGAGCACGGTTGTCACGATTGTTATTGATGATCAATCAGAGATTGGAGCTGCTGCTGGTGTGTTTGGGAGTATTCGAGCTGCGGCTGGTGTGCTCGCGAGTAAGTTCTTAATCAAAGGGTCGTGCATGAGTTGGTGACTGACAGATTTACAGCCGCCATCTACTCATCTGTTCTCATGAACAAGTTGACCGAATACACGGCGAGCGATGTTGTTCCTGCAGTGGTCGCTGCTGGCCTTCCTGTGACATCTTTGGAGGCATTCTTGACTGCGTTGTCTACGGGAAATACAGCAGCTCTCCAAGAGATTCCTGGCGTAACTCCTGCAGCTATCGGGGCTGGAGCCGCAGCGTTGAGAGAGGCGTACGCGAAGGCCTTTAAGATTGTCTGGCTCGCAACTCTCGCATTCGGTTTGCTCGCCGTTGTTGCTTCGTTCTTCACGACGAATATCGATGACAGGCTCTCGCATGACGTTATTCGACGACTGGGTGCCAAACAAAAGGTGGCAGACGTGGAGAAGAAAGAGGTTGATGAGTGAGGATGAGATGGGTTTGGTATAATAACAACGGAATGATGACGGTACACATTGAGTTACCTTGCAATATCACATTACTGTTCTGTGGTCGATTCTGACCGAGTTCGAACCAGTTCACCTCTACGTGCCCCACGATTGAATGTCATGCCGCAGTGCTTTCGAGGCTCACAACAAGATCTTGACAGCCTGCATCTAGGCTCTGCAGTCAAGATGTCGAGGCAACGAGGCTGCACGGCCGTCGAACTGTGCAGCGCGTGAGCGGAAATAAGGAGAAGCTTCAATCGGAAAACCAAGTCCGCTTCCATCGGCCGTGTCCTCCGGCACGCAGGATGACGTTGTGCCACCAAGAGCTTATAGCTAATGTTCACATGCTATTGTAAACACGTCAAACGACATCAGACTCAAGCTGTAGTAGGATATCGCCAGTGAAACAACCGAATTCATCATGGGCCGCATAACAATCGAATCCGAAACCGTCTTCTCCCGCCCCGCAGAAGAAATCTACGACTTCGTCTCCAACCCTGCAAACTGGGGCCGAACATACCAAGGCAGCGGCGGCCTGCACAACAACGCACAACTCCAACTCCCTCTCAAGTTCGGAGACCAATGGACCGAAGCCGTGCCCCTCAAAGAAAACACCTATGTCGCAACTTGGACTTTGATTACTGCGATGCGTCCGCTTAAATGGGTGTTTCAACAAGTCAATGGGATTGGAGCACATGCTGAGGGTAAAGGAGATAGTCCTGGTGTTGAGGGTACGACGACGATTTCGTATTTTTTTGAACCGAATGTTGGGGAGGGGAAGACGCTGTTTAGGAGGAAGATTGAGTATGATTTGCCCAAGGGGGTGGATATTGCGCCGGATTTGATGGTTGCTAGTGGGCCCGGAGGGATTGATCGGTATCATGCTGCTATTGAGAGGGTTATGAAGGAGGATGAGGCGAAGAAGTAGCGACGACATTGATCGAATGAATAGCTATGAATATTTGCTGATCCAGGGCAACTTTTACGAGCTCATTTGCAAACTTGACGTTGATATTCTCTCTCTTTCACGAATTCGATTTTTGTGGTCCTTGATTATGCAATCGCATGTGAACAGCATTTCAATGAGTCTACATGGTAGCATTACTACAACTTTCAATATTGCTCGTTCACGAACAAACCAGCCATGCCCATGCCAGTGCCCAGGCACATGCTAGTCACCAGAATCTGCTGCTTCCTTCTCCGGCATTCACTCAGGCCTGTGACGATTTGTCTCACTCCTGTGCAGCCAAATGGATGACCGAGTGCAATGGCTCCTCCACGAGGGTTCATTTTACTCCAGTCAAGTTTCAATTGATCGCGGCAGTAGACTGCCATGGAAGCAAATGCCTCGTTGATTTCCAGCACATCTACGTCGTCGAGCGCGATGCCGAAGCGTTCAAGAAGTTTTGGGATTGCGTAGGTTGGTCCGATGCCCATGATTCGAGGAGGCAAGCCAGCTAGACTTGTTCCGATGTATCTAGACGTCTGGATTAGGTATACCCTTCTCAAGAGATAGAGTGTCGTTGAACTTACTTTGCAAGAATTGGTTGACCAAGCTCAAGTGCCTTCGAGCGCTTCATGAGAATGATGGCAGCCGCTCCATCCGTGATCTGGCTCGCATTACCTGCATGAGTCGTTGGGCCATAGTCAGGAAATGATGGCGGAAGTTTAGAGAGCTTCTCAGGCGTAACTCCAGATCGAAGACAGTCGTCCTTAGAAATAGTCTCCTGTTTCCCGTTCAATGTTACCCGAATCGGCACGATCTCGTCGTCAAACCATCCATTCTGCTGTGCTTGTTCTGCGCGATGATAGGACTCGGCAGCATAATGGTCTTGCTGTTCACGAGTCACGTTAAATTCTTGGGCCACGATCTCAGCAGTCCCTCCCATTGGCATCATGCAATCTGCTGCATGTTGACTTCCGGACATGATCGGTTCAACGAAGTCTCGGTCCAAGCGAGTGTATTCCGTGGAAAGAGCTTCAGCCCCAATGGCGACTCCGATGTCAATCGTGCCTGTGATGATCTCATTCGCGACATGCTGCGTGGCCGTCAACCCCGAAGAGCAGAAACGAGATGCGTGCGAGGCACATGTCGTTGGTGGAAAGCCTGCAGCAAGTGCCGCTGCTCGGACGTAATAAGAGGCTTTCGCATCTCTGACGTTTCCCAGGCAGATGTCGTTGACCTGGCTTGGATCTAGTTTGCTCTGCGCGATGACTTGCTCCAGTGTTTTGAAGACCAGATCATCTAGCAGAGTATCCTTGAGGCCTCCACGTTTGGACTTGCATAAGGGTGTTCGAATGGCCAGTGTGATCACGACATCGTCTGGGTGTTGTTGTTTTCTGCTTGAATCGTTAGTTCCTGTGTCTCGTGCGACTTCTCGCATACACCCACATTGTTTCAAGGCCATTGCTTGTGGACCTTACTTGGGAATTAATGCTTTCCAGCCGCATTGTCGACATGATTGGCATGGGTAAAGTGCTTGCACGTGAAGGCAGTAGTGACCTCGATGTTGCCAGCGAGAGTTTGGTCAAAGGACGAAAAGAAGAGCTTGTTGTGCCGAAACCGACATGTGCCGATCAGCCACGGATACGATCATCCGACCAGATCACAGCAAGAGCGAGATTACTATCTTTTGCGACAGTCTGCTGAGGAGTCTAGGGTACAGTTTGCAGAGAATGTTGTGCTACACTATGAATCATGTGCAGAGATCTGCCCTAGCTAAATTTTACAGTAATCATACAGGCTTGTCTCCCGCCAACGTGATACGGTACATGCTCCTCCGGAAACCATGATAGTCATTGATCGGGTTGTGCAATGCTGCTCTGTTGTCCCACATAGCCAAGCTGCCCACGCCCCACTGAAAGCGACATGTGAACTCTGGACGGACTTGATGTTGATGCAAAAAGTTCAGGAGAGGCGCACTCTCTTCTGTCGTCCATCCATCGAATCGCTCGGTGTGTGCAACATTCATGTAGAGGCTCTTCTCGCCGGTCTCAGGATGCGTCCGCACGGCTGGATGATATGATACCAGGTCCTCCACTTTCTGGCCTGATCCTTTCACCCGATCTTCTCGCGTCTTGGTGACATCTGCTTTGGCCGAAGTGTTGACGCAGATCAGATTCTGGAGAACCGCTTTGAGTCCATCTGACAGAGCATTATACGCCGCAACTTGATTTGCGAAAAGCGTATCTCCTCCAAAAGGTGGCAACTCATCTGCACGGAGCATTGTTGCCATTGGCGGCTCCTCCAGATATGTCGTGTCTGAGTGCCATATTCCGCCAAAGTTGTTCTTCTCATCTTCTTTCTTGAGAACTTGGATAATTTCCGGGAAACTATCAACACCTTTGACGAACGGGTATGGCACTGGTGATCCGAAGTGAGCTCCAAAACCCAGGAATTGCTCTTGTGTAAGCGGCTGGTCGCGGAAGAAGACCACTTTGTGTTTCAGCCAGACTTTTCGAATTTCGTCAGCTGTAGATTTGTCCAGGGTTGCGAGATTTACTCCGTGGATTTCGGCGCCAATGCTTCCTGAAATTGGCTTGACGGAAAGGCCGCCATTAGAGGCTGTGGCGAAGCCACGAGTGCTGGTAAGTCGCCAGGCGGATCTCCTCGCAACAGACAACATGGTGTTTACATCTGCATTGCTATGCTAGTCGGACAACGACATAGATTAAGGCAGTGGATCGGTTCTCAAGGAAGCCGGCGGTAGAGCGGAAATATCGGCCGAGAAGAACGATCTCCTGTCAAGCAGGACCCTGTTCTTGCCTAGACCGCTGCGCCCCTTGGCACTCAGTCAGCTGTCACCAGATGACAGCTCGATGGCTTCAACGTCATCTCGAGATATGAGGGGCGTCTGGGTTTCTTTTCCGCAAGAGCTCTCTAAGACATGAGCTGTTGTAATGATGACCTTTAGTCTTGACCACATTCGCTTTCGTAAGTACTAAGAGTGAATACTCCATCTTTGTTCGTTGTTGCTCGTCGGAAAATCAGACCGGACTTCTTTCATCGCATTCGAAATGGTGGTCCATGTTAAAATCGATAACGACGGCATAGACGAGAATGCCCCAGGTGGAAAATATGGCTATCGCCTTGGACATAGTCTGGGGGACTATACTGTACCTGATCGCATCTTGAACGCCGAGGATGACCGTCCTGTCAAGATTGTGACAGTAGGAGCTGGCATTTCAGGGATACTGATGGCTTACCTGCTTCAACGTGACTGCAAAAATGTTGAGCACGTCATCTATGAAAAGAATGGTGATGTATGAATCCTCTGATTGTCACCAGTCGATCGAATGCTGATAGCGTGTCAAATTTAGATTGGTGGCACATGGCTAGAGGTAAATACGTCTGAGCTATTCCGCCTTTGCCCGTACTTACACCTAGACCGCCTTCTTATGCTGACATGGCTTGCAATGTTTGCAGAATCGCTACCCAGGATGTGCTTGTGATGTGCCCTCGCACGCCTACACATACGCTTTTGCATTAAATGCCGACTGGCCAGCGTACCTCAGTGGCTCCGACGATATCTTTCGATACCTTACGCGGGTTGTCCAGTGCTTCGATTTACGAAAGTTCATGCGCTTTAATAATGCTGTGGAGCACGCCGAATGGATTGAAGAAGAGGGGAAATGGTTCGTGGTGATCCGAGATCTGCTGACTGGAGCTCGTCTGACGGAGAAATGTGACTTCTTGATTGGAGCTAACGGGCTCTTGAATTCATGGAAGTGGCCAGAAGAAGTGAAAGGCCTGCACGATTTCAAAGGAAAACTAATCCATACTGCAAGATGGCCCGACGAGTATACGGAGAAAGAATGGGCCAACGATCGAGTTGCTGTGCTTGGTTCCGGCGCTTCGTCTATCCAGGTGGTCCCGAGCATGCAAGAAAAGGCTAAGTCGTTGGATGTGTATATCAGGTCTCCTGTCTGGTTCGCAGAGCTAGCAGGTCACGGTGGAGAAAACACAGATTGTGAGAGGCTTGCAACCACTTTCTGTTGTAGAAGGCTAACGATTTTACTCAGACGAGGAGTCAGTGCGCCAAAATCTACGAACTAATCCCGCTGACCTGCTATCGACCGCCAAAGAGATCGAAGGCGGGCTGAACCAAGGTGCCGGTATCAAAGCCTTGATGCCGAATAGCGCGGAAGCCAAGGCTGCCAAAGCACATGTTGCGTCCCGTATGAGGGAGTTCATCCAGGACGAGAAGCTCTATGACTTGTTGACCCCTAGTTTCCCACTCGGTTGTCGTCGATTGACCCCAGGAAATCCATTCATGAGGGCAGTCCAGAAGCCAAACGTGACAGTCCATCGATCTGCTGTTGCTGAAGTAAGGGGCAATACTGTGATCGATACTTTGGGATCAGAGGTTGAAGTTGATACTCTCATTTGCGCAACTGGTTTCGATACCAGCTATGTCCCGAAGTATAGCTTAAAAGGGCGCAACGGACTCTTACTTTCCAAGAAGTGGGCTGAGGTTCCAGAAGGATACATGGGTAAGCTTTCTTACAGTCTGAGAATTTCAGAGCACTAACGATTTACTTCATCAGGCATGATGGTCCCCGACTTTCCCAACTACTTTATGTTCCAAGGTCCGACTTTTCCCGTTGCCAACGGATCAGTGATGGGCCCATTGCAAACCGTGGGCGCTTATATCGTTCAACTGGTCAAGAAAATGCAACGCGAGAGCATTCATTCATTCGATCCCAAGCAAGATGTAACCGACCAGTTCAACAAGCACACGCAAGCTTGGGTCGCTGGAAGTGCATGGGCAGATCGAACGTGCCGTAGCTGGTACAAAAACAACGAAACTGGTCGTGTCCACTCTATCTGGCCGGGGAGTAGTCTACACTACTGCGAGATGATTGCATCCCCACGTTATGAAGACTTTGTGATCAAGTACGAGCACTCGCAGAATATGTTCGCCTTCATGGGTTTGGGCTTCACGAAAGATCAAGTCGAAGGCGGAGATCTGTCGCCGTATATGAATGCGGAAGTACTTGAGACAGTGTTCTCCGATTTCCGAGGGGATGCAGATGAGGACTTCAGGGTGCATGACAGGAAGAACAGGGTGAATGACTTCCCTACTCCCGCAGCTACCTGATGCTTGTGAGAAAAGATCACACCATCGTAGATACAAGTCACATAGCATACATGTATGCATCAATCACGCCTGATACAGTATCAGGTGGTATTGCGATGCTAGTTGGAGCAAAGCTCCTGCATACCTCCATCAACAGCCAAAATTGTTGCTGTGATCAGACTTGCTTTCCCTGATGTCAAGAACAAGGCAGCTTCAGCCACCTCTTCGGGGAGTCCAATTCGACCGACGGCCATCTTCGATACGAGATCTTCCATTGCCGGCTCGCCCTTGTCTTCGTCCAGCTCCCCTAGCAATGCAGTGCGAATCAAGCCAGGACAGATGGTGTTGATGCGGATATATTCTTTGGCGACTCTTAAAGCGTCTGCCTTGGTAAGGCGGGTGAAATCTGAAGGCATGTTGTCGAAGCTTTGAACCTCGCGTACGGAGAGTATATTGACAATCGAGCCGCGCTGTGGATATAAGTCGTCATCTGCTCGAAAAGGCTCCTGTTTGGCCATCTGAAGCAATTCAATTTGCTGACAAATTCGAGTACCTCTTGCAGTAACGGCGAAATGCTTGTCAAAGTCGACCCCAGAATGACCAGGAACGCTGGGTAAGAGTACGCCGGGCACATTACAGGCATAGTCTATGCGACCAAATGTGGCAACTGCTTGACCGATAAAACTGTCGACTGACGCTTCCGAAGTAGTATCTGTTGACCAGATATTAGCATAATCCAGTCCGCGAGGCGAAGGGACAGCTGAAGTCGAACCACATGATAAGCTCATTACGTCTACATCTCTGGACACATCTTGAATGAGACTTTTTGTCTCGGCCAGAGCAACAGGATTCGCGTCGCCTATCACAATTCGTCTGCATCCTCGACTTGCATATCGTATGGCTGTGGCACGTCCAATACCTGAACCAGATTAGTATATGCAGGGGCGGTCCTTGGCTGGTATTCTCTACACCCAACCCAGGAGATGGACTAACCAGAGGCTGAGCCGATAATCACAGCAACACCAGGGAAGCTCATGACTTGTCCTTACGTGGACTTCTGCGTTGGCAGTCGTCCAATGCTTCTGCTTTACGGATTCAAGCACGGATCCAGAGAGAACTTTACGGATATCATTGCCGCTCTCTCCTGGGCCAGTTGAGCAGGAGTAAAGTGATGCATGGAACACAAAATTTTGTCTGGCCACAGAGTCTCAACTACGCGAGCGCGCAGTAATTATGGCTCTCGCGCATACAATAGATGAAGGGTGGAGCTCCATCCTATTTGAGATGTTTCAAGCCATTTTGACCAATTACTGCACTCTCTAAGCGTTCACAAGTTGCAATTGATCTGGTAGTGTTCTAGAATAAGTGTGCCTCTATGTCTCTACGTCGGCCAGTCGTACGAATGAGAAGCCACGCCAAATACGTCGCGAGAAGATCTTGTCTTCCAGCCTATGCGTCTGCTTTTTAGGCACCCGTCCGCTTCGAAATTAGAAGATTGCCATCGCGTTAGGATGGCTTCCGACACCACCTGGCAAAAAGTTCATATCAGCAATGGCTCAAGACGAGACAACGACAATCTGGCCAGACTTACCTGGAACGTTCGACGGAGAGCTCGAAAAGAAAAACGCGTACTGTTTGTACTTTTTACAAGTTTCGGCCAGTTGCTCAAGATCCCACATCTCTCCAATTGGAAGGCCCCAAAGCGGTAGCAGATGAGCGTGCAAGACGTGAGGAGGCTTTGGTGGCCAAGCTTCGAAACCGGGAGTATCACCGGCCACGGCGCTGAAGTAGTTGTCATGGAGAAAGTCGAGCATTTCGCTCGTCTGTTCGACGCCCACAAATTCATGGGCGTAATCCTTGACATCTCCAAGTGCTTGGCGGGCTGCTGAGCTCATCCCGGTGTATGCATCAAGCCAGCCGGAACGTATTATCAGTATATCGCCGTACTGGAATTGCACTCCCTGAGCGTCCGCACAAGATTTGAGTTCCTCTAGAGTGATCGGACGCGTGGTGAATGGGTCGTATGACTTTCCCAGATGACTCCACACATCAAGGAGAACAGCACGGCCTACCACACCGTGCTCTGCCCAGGACTGCATCCCACCGCTCCTTTGGGGACTTTCGATGTCCTCTTGTGTGATCTACATACCATTAGCATCCAGACACGCCTTTTACGGTCATCAAGTAGCCTCACTCCATTGTAGAAAATCCATTTGTCGTTTTGTTTAGTCGCGACATGGCGATAGCCGTCCCACTGCAAACAAATGTCAACATTTCCTCATCGCCCATCAGACTGGAGGTGAGCTCGCATTACCTGAGAACCACTCTGCGTATTCATGTGGAACAAGTCATCATTGCCTTGGCCACCGTTGAGCTTTTTGATCTCATGCTGGAACGGCTCTCGACCAAAGACCGGAGGACTAGGCAGATCGGACCGAAGACTGATCGTGTCAGTCCCATGGCAATTGATGGTAACGATTGCACACATATTTGCTGACTCACTCCAAGTTGATTGTCTCGCCTGTGCGAATAAGCTTGGCCGCCGCAAGCTTGCGGTCTGTCGTGAGCATGTTCAAGCGACCGAGCTATGGTTGCAAATATTATATTAGAGTCGCCTGTGCTTGACGAGGTGTTTTCAACGAACCTCATCATCTTTTCCCCATAGCCATGCCGCTCCGGCAGGAGCATTGGGCAAACTGGGCAGCTCAGAGCGCTTGGGAAGAGCGGCTTGTGATGGGTCTAGTGGTGATGCCATGGCCTCGCAATTGTATCATCAAGATGGAGGCACCGACCCGTGTTCACGATTGCTCCTGAAATGCAGACCAGGTCTCAGATAGCAGGATGAGTGTTCCAGCACGACGAAAGGTGAATGGCTAGCCCTGCGCCGGGCAAACGGGCCGAATCGGAAAAGGCCTGCCTCGGGATGGATACTGGCTATAGTTTGCTCGAGGGCTGCGGAACAGGCAAGTCGACATCTTGGCTCAACTCATTCAACAGGATGGATGTGTTGATGTAGGCGGGGCTCAGCTGATCAAGAGCTGTGACGCCCAGAAGGCGCATCGTGGTCTGGATTTCGTCGTCCAGGACTGAAATTTTGATTAGCGCGGTTCGACTGCTTGATATTCTCACCGTGACTTACTCCGGATAGCACGATCAACGCCTGCAGTTCCGTAGCCACTGAGAGAGTACATGAACGTACGCCCCAGGCCAACGGCTTTTGCTCCCAAGCACAACGCTTTGACGACGTCCGAGCCACGGGTGACACCCCCGTCGAGATATACATCTAGTTTGCTCAGGATGCTCGGACAGAACTTGCGAATCTCCAGCAATGTTTTGATCGAGCTTGGAGCATAGTCGAGCTGTCTGCCACCGTGATTGCTCAAGTAGATGGCATCTACGCCGGCTTCAGCCGCTAGCATGGCATCCTCGACTGACTGAACTCCCTTCAGCACGAGAGGTCCTGCATTGTCCCATGTCTCGCGGATCCACTTCAGGTCTTCCCATTCGAGAGTGCTTGAATGAGCACCCCTGAGCACTGGTGGATTGGATCCTACCGCTGTAGTTGCCGGATCTGCAGGTTCAATGCCTGCGTCATAATCGAGCTGTGCCTTGAGACGATCGTCTTCTTCCCGTTTGCCTATTACAGCCGAATCGATCGTTACAACCAGTGCCTTGCATCGGAGCCTTCGAGCTTCTTTGATGAGCTTTTTGGCACCAAACTTGTCGATCGGCACGTATAATTGAAACAGAAGCGCGCCCCGTTCGTTGGTCTCCGTGGCCATACATTTGGCGATTTCGACGTGAGGAACAGAGCTGTATGTGCTACAACAATATGGAATGTTCCATTTCACAGCGCCTCGTCCCAAACACAGTTCACCATCCTCGTGTCCCAGCTTGGCCAGAGCGGCTGGTGCAATGAAGACGGGAAGCGCACTGTCATGCGCCATGATTCGAGTCTTTGTGCTTATTTTGTCTACGCGACGAAGAGTTCGTGGCCGAAAATGTATTTTAGTCCAGTCCTTGCGGTTTATTGCATCGGACTGTAAAGAATCGGCTGCAGAGCTGTAGTATATCCATGCTTTCTGTGACAAGAACTTCTGGGCTGTGCTTCTGAAGTCTCCCAAATTCTGGAGAGTTGTCAAGGGAGGGAGGCCATTTGTTTCCTTAGGTGGTGAACTCGGGGCATTCGCTGCATCCTGGCTATCCTCGGAAACATCGTACTCTCCCAGATGCTTCTCTTTGGGGAGTGTATCAATGGTTGCGGGAGGATGGATCAATTCGTACTCTTCAGTTGCGTCTTTCCCTCCATAGCGAAGAATGCTGCTCGCACCGCCAGGGTGGAAGTCCAAGAATTCGGTGAGATCATAGACCTTCCCTTGAATTATGACCCAGCAAGAGGTCCGAGAGTTGTGCTTCTCCACTTCGCTTTTGTTGAGCCCCATGTCTGCGACAGATTCGGTAGTACTCCAGGCGTCTTCACGCGTCTGCGATGGCTTGCTGTGGTGTCCACAAGACCACCGGGTCCGCAATAGGTCAATGCTGACAAAGGTTGCGGGAAAAGGAGCCGCTCTCGGAATGACATTGCCGGCCACGAGCATGCACGATCGACTTACCGGCTGACCCTAGAATATTGCCATGACATAGACTGTGATGACATGGTAGCCTGGTACAGACAAATTGTGCTTATTGGTACATAGGGAATGGATACTTGCCGAGAAGAGGTGTGAGCAGAGGCGTATGGACCTCCGCAGGAACATATCTCGAACGCGTCTGCCATGAGAGCTACGAGCAGCTACTGCACCCGAGACTAGTCTTGACGCGTCCGATACTCTTGTCTCGCGCCAAGCTAGTGACTAGCAGAGGCCGACTTTTGATTTGTACAGTTTGATGCAGGTTGTTCATCAAACGTGGAAGGTGGGTGGCACAGTTTGCAGGTTGCACTTGATGCCTGAGGCTGCAACAAAGGTTGGACGTTTCCACTTTTTCTCTGCGCTCTGGATAACCAACAAAAGTCTTGTTACACTTTTCCACGCCCAGAGGTATGAGCAAGAATCACAATCCTCAAGAAAGGGACGGTCTATCGCAGCCAAAATGATAACCAGATCGACGGACCTTCAAGCTTTGCAGGAGTTTCCTTGAGGCTGCTCCGGCATCGAAACGGAATACGTTGGTCATACACATCGTCTTTCAAGTCTGGCCTTGCGAAGCACTATAGCTTTGGCCGGGGAGCAGGCTCAGCCGCAGCCCTCAATTCTTTCCTCAGAATCTTCCCGGACATGCTCTTCGGAATCTCAGGCAAGAAGACCACCCCGCCACGAAGCTGTTTGTATGGAGCCAGATTGTTTTTAACGAAGTCTCGCACCTCCTTCTCGGTGATGTTTGAAGCCCCAACAGCATGCACCACATACGCTCTGGGCACCTCGGTCTGCTGGGCCGCGTCCCAGACGCCAATGACGGCCGCATCTGCGATTTTCGGATGTGAGATCAAGAGTGCCTCAAGTTCTGCAGGCGCTATCTGCATAGCCTTGTACTTGATCAACTCTTTTTTGCGATCCACGATATACACACGATTGTTGATGATAGTGGCGATGTCTCCAGTTCGGTAGAAGCCGTCAAGGAAGGCGTCTTTGTTGATATCCGGACGATTGTGATACCCCTGGGAAAGAATTGGTCCTGCAAGCAGTAGCTCGCCAGGCTCATTGGGTGGCACGTCTTGATCCTGTTCGTCCACAAGACGTGCCGTCGTATTCGGACAAAGGTCGCCGACACTCCACGTCTCATCCACAATATGGTAGTCCTGGGAGCATACCGAGCCGCTCGTCTCTGTCGTGCCGTAGGTCTGTGTCATGAGCGCATTTCCCCTACCGAGCTTCTGCCGCACTTGCTGAGCAGTTGCATAGCCTAGCGGGGCAGAACCCGTCGTGGCCACTCTCAGGCCGTCGAAATGGTCTGTGACTTCAGCGGACTTGGCAATACGTAGCCACACCGGAGGCACCGTGAACTGGAAACCAGGCCTGTACCGTCGGTGATATTCTATGAAGGCATGGAATTCGTACTTCGGCATCCAGTACGTTGTGCCGCCCATGTAGAATGGATTTGTAGAATACATGTCGATGCCTGCAATCCCCATGGGTAGGTGGGCGATGGTATCAAAGCGAAATGTGGGATCTCGCTTCTTGAACTTACTGCACAGAGTGGTTAGCAATGGACTCAAACAAATGCTTGCTGACAAAACAACTAACCGAGCTACATGCATGGTCACGACCAAATTCGCCACCAGACCTTGGTGAGCGATGCGCACGCCTTTAGGCAACCCTGTAGTGCCAGATGAGTACAACAGGGCTATTGTCTGCGACGCGAGTATCTTTGGGTCTTCTATCCGGGGCCAGTTCAGCTTCTGGCCTTTGCACGCTGCCAGCACATCGCGGCTGTTATCAGCTTGCAATAATCTGAAGCGACCAGGGCGGTCATTGTCCAGCACAATTATACGCTGCGCGGCGATACCGGATAGCTTTGCTGCAGCTATTGTGACTTCGAGACAATCTGCTGAGCAAACTAACACGCTTGCACCACCGTCGTCAATCTGGCGAGCAATCTCTGGCGCTGTGAAAGAGGTGCTCGCCGAGCTGAAGATACCACCTGCTGCCAGCACGGCATAGAAGAGATTGGGCAGGAACACACTTCCATTGCAGATCGAAAGCACGACGTCCTTGCCTGGAGCATGTCTGCCAACATCGAACTGTTCTCGAAGAGCATATGCGACACGTTTCACCAGATCGCGGGCATCGGACTTGGTAACAAAGTTGTGTGGGTTGGCTGCCTCAACGTGTACCTTTGTGTCTTCTTTTGCGAGACATACGGTGGATTCTGTTACGACTAGAGTCAGACATATTGTCACCATGTCAAGAGCTATCTCTTGATTGACTTACCGAATAGGAGCGTAAGCAGATCCAGTTGCGGAATATCGAGATCCTTCTCCCGAGAGCGATAATATACTGGAGCCATTGTTGTTGAAGAATATTCACGCTTCAAGCATGGCTGGCTCTGATGTCTCTGATCACTTGACGCGTCGCCATGTGATTGGAGATGCAGCGGGGCACAACCGCTACGGAAAACACACCTTGGCAGCATTTTCCAGACGTTGCGGTCTCGGCAGCCGACTTCCGTTTCGTACATGCATCACACAAGCTCTTGCCACGACGAGTCCGAGCTGGTCAGTAAGAGGACTTCGCATGGAATAATACATGATTCTGGTCAATCATATTCAGTAGCCTCATCTGTTGCACAAAAGCTCACTTGCTTCTCATCTCACACAGGAATGCGATTAATGTACAAAGACTGCGATATCGAATTCCCTAATGCTCAGGTACAACCTTCGATCATAACTCTCAAGTATCTGGCAAATTAGTTACAGCTTCAGGCACTGGTATAGGGGCAAAACTTGGCACATCCCACTCTTCCTGTCGGTCTTCATCGTCCACTGTGCCCAGGAACCAAGTAAGATCTTGGCCGCTGAGATCGCGAGCAGAGTAGCCGTTTCCTAGCCAATTCCACATATTCGGTGACCGGTACTCAATATCGTAATCCTGGAATCGACATTTCTGCATGAGCATCATGTACTGGTTGCGTGTCCCAGGGTGTAGCATAATCCGGCCCTCGATCCTGTTGCCTTTGAACCAGCTTCGGCAAGGCGCATTCCAGACGGTCCTGTCGTTGAATAGATCTGCATGCTCGGCATATTGATCGATGACCGTCTGTTTCGGAGTGACGCTTTTGACGTCCTCGAGTTGGATATGCTCAATCATCTGCAGGATGTATTTGATGAAGACATCGATCATTGGCATAGCACTTCCTTGCCCGAGCGGTCCATAGGGGCCATACACTGTCATGTAGTTTGGCATTTGTGGTGCTGCCACACCAAGATAGCCAACTGGCTTTTCTCGATATAGGTCCTGCAAATTCACTCCATTCGCAATGATCGGAAAACGAGGGACCCAGGAGGTGTCAAAGCCGGTCTGTCTCAGTCAGTATGGCCTCCAGCTACACCCGAAGTATTGGGCAAACTTACTGCGCAAATTATGACGTCCACTTCGTGCTCTGTTCCGTCAGGGGACAAGAATCCCTTGGCTGTGATGCGGTCCAGTCCGCCTCCAGTGAAGGTAGTCACATTCGGTTGAATCAAAGCTTCAATGTATCCTGTCCCGGGACTAGAACCTTGTGAGCGAGCGGCAGGGCGAACGTCAAGTCTGCGGGACGTGTTCTTTCGAGACTTACGTAGGACGTTTGCATCCAACAGGAAATTGCTTCGGGATCAGAGCTTCTGCTAGACTCTGATCACCGACCAACTTCTTTTCCATCTGCTTTCGGGCGTACTAGACTCTGTCAGCTCCGAAGATGTTCTCTGGGGCTGTAACCCAACTTACGTCTCCCGCTCCCCGGGACTCCGGGCTGTTTCGATGGAACCCTGCAAATCTCGAGACCATCTCGGTCTCCACGTTCTTGCGATATTTGAGATATTGTTCCTTGTCGTCTCGCATAACGGCCTTTTGTTCCTCTGTGTCTGATCATGATTGTAAGTAAGATTAGTATTGAAAGTATCGAGCCCACACTCACACTTGAAGTTGCCCCCGTCCTTGCCAGCCCACTTTTGTGCGAACCCGGGAGTCATCCACGTAGGCGAACGGATCCAAGTGTACAGGTGATCCACGTAAGGCTGAATCTCAGCAACGATTTGAATTCCGCTCGACCCGTTGCCGACAACGGCAACTCGTTTCTTCTCAAGGGTGAGGTTCTCGGGGTAATTGGCTGTGTGAGCAATGACACCCTTGAAGTCTTTAAGGCCGTCAATGTTTGGCATGTGCCAGGCACTGCGAGTGGAATAAGTAAGATCTTCATTAGTGATCCGTGGCAGGCTTACTTCAAGAATCCCATAGCATTGACGAACACTTCAGCTTCATCGACGAACTGCTTCCCAGTCGCAAGGTCTGTAATTGTGATTCTCCAGCGTCCGTCGGCATCTTGCCATTCGGCATGATCGACACGATGTCGAAGCTTAATGAAATGTGCGAGATTAAAATTCTTGACGGTGTTCTTGAAGTACTGTTGGATTTCTGCTCCACCAGAATAGTAGTGTGACCAGACTTCGGGATTCCAGATGTACTGATAGATGACACTGGGAATGTCACATGCCACACCTCTATCAAATTTGGATTAGGAAGTTGTCTTTATGTTCAAATATTGGTGGACTCACGGGTAACGATTCTCTAGCCAAGTCCCGCCGATATCCTCATTTTTCTCGTATATGACCAGATCCACATTTTGTGCATCGTCCTGGATATACTTTGCAAGACAGATCCCAGAGGCACCGGCACCAGCACAAATCACCCTTATGGGCCGATGTTGGCCTGAGCAGTCCTCTTTGATTGTGTACCCGCGATCATTAGTAGTCTTCCAGCCGTATGACTTGGGTTTTTGGTCCCAGGGAACTTCTGTGCCATTCGTGTTTGCCATTTTCCTCTCCAATAACGAATTGATGCTGTATGTCAATAGTGGTATAGGACATAGGTGCGGAGACGCGGCCCGTGCTGCACTGAGAGCGAAGATCTGGAGGTGGCATGTTTTCCGCAGCATTTGCCGCAGCTGTCACGATGTCATCGTCATTACTCCCTAACAATTGGTCCGCTGTGTGCTGTCCAGCAACTGTAAAGTACTGGCCATACGGCGATTGGCCCATAGCAGTGCTGGTCAAAAAAGAGAGACAAGATCGAGCTGACGTAACTCCCATCAAATGGCAACGAATGATTCACAGCATGCCGTGGTTCACTGGTTTGATATGACCGACAGCTGCTTGACTACTGCATAACGATCATTGTTGTCAAGTTTTCTCATGCTAAATTATCTAAGTGTGATACTGTTGCTATATCACATCTTGATGTGGATTGTCTTTGGTTGCAGATACTCCTTGAGACCTGCAGCACCCGATTCTCGTCCATAACCAGATTGCTTGACTACATATTCGTTAGCAAATGCACTCTGATCTTTGGAACATTCTCACTTACATCCGCCGAAAGGCGTTGCTGTGCTGGTCGTGAAAGCGCTGTTGATACCAACAGTTCCAGCCTCGATCTGTCCTGCAACACGGAGGGCGCGTGCGGCATCGGTAGTGAAGATTGTGGATCCCAAACCATAGCTTGTGTTGTTGGCCAGGGCAATGCCCTCTTCCTCGGTCTTGAATGTCTTCAATGCTATGACGGGCCCGAAAATCTCGTCGGTGAACACTTTCGCATTGACGTCGGGGTTGAGAATCACTGTCGGTTCCACATAGGATCCCTTCTTGCCTTTGCGGATACCTCCTGTCAAATATTCCACTCCGTTCGCTCGAGCGTCGTCCAGCATTCCCATGACCCGGTCGAATTGTGCTTGATCAGCTAGGGGTCCGAAGACTGTCTCGGATTTCGAAGGGTCGCCCATCGACTCGCCCGCCTTTTCAAAGGCACCCTTAATAGCTTCAATGAACTTGGGAGCGATGTTTTCCTGTACCAAGACGCGGGTAGCAGCAAAGCAGACTTGGCCGCTGTTCATCAGGAAGTTCACAGAGTTCTGCTGCACGGCGTTCTCTAGGTCTGCATCATCGAATACGAGGGCCGGTGACTTTCCGCCAAGTTCGAGAGACACTTTCTTGAAGTTGGACTTCGCTGCAGCAACGGCTACAGCACGACCAGCGGGTGCCGAACCAGTGAAGGCAATCTTTGATACGTCCGTGTGGGAAGCCAGCATTGCTCCCACGGCACCACCACCAGACACGATGTTGACGACTCCTGCAGGGATTCCTGCTTTGGTGAGGAGTTCGCCATACCTTGCAAGGGCCAGAGGAGATTTCTCAGAGGCCTTGATGACAAACGTGTTGCCTGTAGCCAACGCAGGTGCCATCTTCCACGCTGCGAGAATATGTGTGCCGTTCCATGCGTTGATACCAGCGCAGACACCGAGGGGCTCGTATTGCACGATCTTGTAGGTGCCATCTTCGTCTGGTGGGAAGCTCTCGCCGGCTACCTTGCCACAGAAGCCCGCATAGTACCGCCAATATTCCACAGCTCCTTGTACGAAGGCTTTTGCGAGTGTCATGGGTTGACCCATGCAGATAGACTCCAGCCTGCCTAGCTCTTCACTCTCTGCCTCGAGGATATCTGCGAACTTGAGCATCATGTTGCGTCGTGTTGTCGAAGCAGTCATTCTCCATTTTGGGAAAGCTTTCTTAGCAGCTGCAACTGCGTTGTCAACATCCTGTTGAGTGGCCACCTGTATCTGATCCGTGACCAGATCGTCGTTGTCGGGGTTGCGGACACTGAGCCTCTCAGGCGACGATGCGTCGACGTACTGCCCGTCAATAAAAAGTCGTGTTTCGTAAGACATATTCAATTACTTGTGACTTGTGAATCCAATTTGTTCTGTTGATGCAAGCTTGTCGAAGCAGCTTGAGTGCTTTGATAGTTCTAAAGTGGGGTCGGAAACAAGAGCCGATACAAAGATGCACCGGTTTGGCGCGCTGAACACTCCACTCCGCCATCGTAATTTTAGCAGTTTGATCTTTGAGGCTATCATAGTGAACACTGCTTGAAGTTCCTAATCTTGAGACAACCACCTTACCATACACAATGTCGTCTCCTTCGTCAAATCCATCGTTCGTAGCTCGGTTGAAGTCACTACCGGCGTCTTCTCCCGCCTTGGGAACGGTCTTGACGTTGGCATCGCCCATGATCGCGCAAGTCACGGCGACTTCGGGGACAGACTTCATCATGATCGATGCCGAACACGCACCTTTGACATTCGACATAGTCACGCAGATGGTCCACGGTTTTATGTCAGTGGCGACCACATCCGTGAAGCATGCCTTGATCCGCATACCATCCCACGATCTTGCATGGATCAAATGGGCTCTAGACAGTGGCTGCTCTGGTATCGTTATTCCCATGGTCAACTCAGCTACCGAGATGGAGGCCATTCTTGATCGTTCACTATATCCGCCCCGTGGCAGGCGAAGCTTCGGACCCCTCTACGCCCCTTTCGCTGCAGGAGGCAACGCCGCATCGTCATATGCTGGGCCTGGGGAATACTTCCAGAGGGCACGACGCGGTGAAATAGCTATCATTCCTATGATTGAATCAAAGCAAGGGCTGGAAAACTGTGACGAAATCCTTAGATTGGACGGTGTTGATGGGGTTTTCATTGGCCCAGCAGATCTTAGACTGTCGATCGATCTGGAGCCAGCAATTGATGGAGAGGAGCCTGAGTTCTTGGCCGCTTTGGACAAAATCACCAAAGCTGCGAAGAAACACGGCAAAGTTGTCGGTTGTATGGGAATAGGAGAAGAGGCATCGTACAAGCGAGGGTCTGAAGGCATGGACTTCTTACTGTCAACATTTGATTACGGAGCAATACTTGGTGGATATAATGCTGATCTAGCCAAGGCAAGATCTGGCGTGGACAGAGCTCGAAAGGCCTCCGCACCACGGTCAGAGCTTTGATATCAAGCTGGAGGGCATGAGTCGTGGCACGTGTGTTCTAGTATATCATTCGCAGTAGAAACAAGACTCTACCCTAGGCGACATGACCCAACAAAAGGGCTTATCCTCAATGTCGCCGTCCGTGAGACGATGTTCGGTCCCCCTTATATCACTCTGTCGAACGCCAGTCTGTCGTTGTGCTGCTGAGGGTCGCTACCAAAGCCTGCAATAAGTGCAGGACTACTCTCATGCAGCTCGCTGGTCAAGTGATGAGTTCCAGAATGGGTAATGCGACAGATACGTATCCTTGCTTGCAACGCCTTTGATGCCATACCGCAGACTGAAGGGCGTAGTGGTTGCTCGGAAAATTTATCCGACGGGTTCCCGGGCTGTAACATTTCACTCAGGGCACCCGTCGATCCGAGGGGTAACAAGATTGCGTCACACGTATCTTCAGGACATAGCTTGCACGTAGGTCTTAATCGAAGTCTGCTCTATACACGCTCACAAACAATACTATAACTATCTATATTCCACCATCATGCCTTCTCGTACATCAGACGCCCAGCTCTCGTTCAAGCAGGTGCATGACACATTTGCAGCCGAAGTCGAGGGAATGAAATGGGATCTCCCGGTTCCAGAATCTATTCTTGACGAGATCAAAGCCGGGGCTGATAAATATGGCGTGTTAATCTTTCGCGAGGCCAACTTGAACAATGACGAGCATATCCGCTTCTCGAAACAGCTTGGCGACCTCATGGACGTCAAAGCTCATATCAAGGCTGGCAGAGTGATGCGGTTCCCCGAAACACCAGAGATCTTTGACGTCTCGAACTTGGACGACAAAGGAGAAATCGTGACTGATGCAGACCCGGCTCGCAGGGAAGGCAACAAGGGCAACTTCATCTGGCATGCCGATATGGCATATGACCCGCAGCGAGCTAAATACTCAATGCTGCGTGCCGTTGAGCTTCCACCACCAGGGACTGGCGGTGAAACAAAATACATCGATTCGCGCACTGCGTATGCCGACTTACCCCAGGAAACGAAAGATGAGATTGAGCCAATGATCACGAACAACTCGCTCTTCCACAATCGCAAGCTCGCAAGCCCTGAGTTCTTCAAGAATCTCGAACCTTTGGATCACCCGATGGCGCGTTACAAGCTGGTGTATCCACACGAAGGCGACGGGCGAAAGAATTTGTATTTGACTACCTATGCGCATCACCTGGATGGCAAGACTCAGGAAGAGAGTCAACCTATCTTCGACAAGCTCTGGGACCATCTGACACAGGACAAATATGTTGTGAGTCTCTCATGTGATCCCCGACCATCAATTCGGATAACTGACTGACAATGCTCTTTCAGCACACTGTACACTGGAAGAACAATGGCGACCTTGTTCTTTGGGACAACACTGGTGTGCTTCATAAAGCTACTGCTACCGGCTCTTACACGACTCAGTATCGTCGGGATATGCGGAGGACCACAACCAAGGACAGCGGCAAGTATGGTTGGGGCGAGAATGAGGTTGGCGCAACATGGAGGACCGGAATTCCGCAGAAGTGATGAGTTCAGCACTAGACTGACCTCAGTCACTTTGCTGTTGCTTCTTCTGAGCAGAAGTGATAAGCTCTTGCATTCATTCAAATAGTAGCCCATGTATAGCATGACTTTACGATATGGCTCGATGAAACCATGCGAAGTCGTTGGATCCTGTTCAAGGGGTTTGAGGTTGGAGGCGCTGTCATGAACCAGGATTCGCATTCCTGTCAGTCTCGAGACCAAGAGCTAGCCAGTCCATCAGATTTCCTTCGGCGTCCATGGTCAGCTCGTCAGCAAATATGTTACCTAGCATCGGGTCGTTGTCAAAGGTACAGGTAGCAGCTTCGAGTCTCGGGGTATGTCCATGGAACGTGCCGGGGCCCATAGCTGATGTCAAATGATTTGTCCCGGGTACCACATTCCCGTTGCGCACGAAGCGGACATTGTCTGTCAACAAGTCGTCGTACATGCCCGACAGAATTGTTCCTTGAACAGTCTTGGATAGAGTCCAACACATTCTAGTGGCAACTGGGTAGTGCACTCGAGCTGAGTGAAGAATGCTACGCAATGTTTCCAACCATGAACGAGGAGAAACTTCGATACCTTGTGATTGCGAGTTGTGGTTGTGTAGAACGTGCGAAACCAGCACTGCCGATGCAACGTACATGTTGTCGAGCATGACAGTGACAATGTTTTCCACGCCATAGGTGTCGTGATATGTGGATACCAGTCGAGCGATCGCGATAGCGTTGCCTAGCATCTCCTGGCAAGGTTGATGCATCTTAGAGCTTTCGCGCTGATCAGCAGCCCTGACCGAGGCCTGAGAATCTCTTCTGATAGATTCGCTGGCTTTCTTCAAAAGCCCCCTAGACACAATTTGTGCCCCGTGAAACTGAATATTTAGAGCATACGCAGATGGCGAAAGATCGAACGCACGGTCCAAGTCAGTCGCTGTCAAGTCCTCTGGTAAACTGTCAAAACGCTGCTTGAGGCGTCTGTCTAGCGCTCTGAGCCTGTCGAGAGTGGTGGGTTCCAGATCTGATGTAGTCAACAATAGCTCGGTAGCTTCAGAAACATCCGTGCAAAGGCCAACCCAGTGTTCTACGGTAGGAGTGCCTTTCCATCCTCCTGTAACTAAGCGTTGGTGAGCGACTGCGACCATAGCAGTTGGAATCGCACTAGGGCGTCCCATGTACATGCTCCACAATTTGTCATAGACATGGGTAGCAAGGAGGAGATCGTGTCTTTCGAACGCCTCAGATGTCGAAATTTTACCCTCAGCTACGAGCGCGTCACAGCTCGCAGTCAAGCCCAGGTCGAAGACCAAACGACACGCAATGCCACTATAGATGTAACCTAGGCGGTTCCGGCCTCTGGTGGCTTCAAAATCACTAAGGAGAAGGAATCCCTGTAGGGAGGCAATGTTCGGATTGCTCATTTCTTCGAGAATCTCTTCTTTCGCGCGATCTGCATATTGAGTGCCCGACTTTCGTAGGTCCTGAGAAGTAGACATACGTGATGCGCAAGCCAGGACGGCATTTTCCAGAAACTTGGAGTAGCGTTGAACTCTTACCCCTGACACGCGTCCAGCTTCGAATGAGGCTTGGTTGACGACCGAAGTGGACAAGAGCTGTGCGCGGAAGAATATCTGAAGCAGAAAGTCTTTCCGAGGCGCGGCATCAAGTTTCAAATTGCTTCCACGGGCAGTGTTCCTAGGCTCGGGATCCTCTAAAGGATACAACTCATGGTCTTTGAGATACCGCTGGGAAGTAGGACCATAGAATCTTGATTGGCCGGGCAGAAGCATGTCCAGATGCTCGTCCTGTTCGCTCGCTGGTGTCAATTGGGTGGCGGGCATATCAAAGGGCTCCAGAGGCCGGGATTGCGGACGAGCTTGCTCCTGAGGCAGAACAGTGACTACATTCGCTGGCGACGTAGATGTCTGAGCTCGTTGAGACACCGGGGATGCTAAAGCAGCGACACTGGAAACCCGTGGTCGTACGAGGATGTTGGACTCATCTTCCATGACTACCTCATCCGGGTAGAATGATGGGACTTCGCCACCATCCGTCACTTGGTACGACTGGTCATTACCATCAAGCGCGTCGATGGGAGATGATGCATGAGCGTGAGCGTTGCCTGAGGATACTGTATTGGCAGGAAAAGCATGATCGGTCTCCTCCGGCTCATCTTCCGGCCGCTGTGCTTGCTGGGCGAGGGCAGATTCTAGTCGCCGAATCCGAGCCTGCAAAGCGTCGAAGTGGGCCCGGGATCCGTGTCTGCACAATCGCGTGTCAGTCTTTACCAATGATCAGACAATCTGATGTCTTGGTGAATGGCATCTTGTGCAAGACTTACTTCCTGCCGTCGCCCGTTTCGCTGACGGTACAGGACACCTGAAGAGACGTACATGATTCGCATGCCCGGCCCGGCGCAAGACCATTGCACTACACCACATAACGTCAGTTCGTTGTTCTCAGCTTGTGGCCGGCCTTTGGGCATCGGTGTTCACCTTGATCTTACGCTGGCGACATCGAACACAGGCTTGAGAAGCACGGGGGTTACCTCTTCTCCCGGTGCTACGATTACTTTGAGCATCTGCCATGACGGCGACAAAGCTGCCACGATATTGCCCCGGTCATAAGTGAAGTGCAACCATGTCCTCTGCAACGTGAGCTGCGACTTGACCACTCAGTGAGTTCTCATTTCGCCGCTGACATGGGTTTAGCCGACCCTTCCCCGCATTTGCTTAGGGACTAGTCTGAACGGTGCCACCCTTTTCTCACTTCATCTGTCTTATAAGACCCAAACATTCATCGTCCTGCGAACGAGATCTATCGTGGTCATCGCACTTGCAGATGCGCTGTTGCATAGAAGTACCGAAGCTATTCTGCTGGCAAGACTGAGCACTGAAATTCCCTGATCAGTAATATGCGTTACCGGCTCCCCATCCTCCTGATCGGCCAAACGCGGCGCAAACTAATTCCAACGATCGTCAAGCTGCAGAAGATTTAGACCCTGCTTAAATCCGACGCACAGGGCGGACAAAACTCCCGAGCACGAGGCTTCAAGCTTCTCTTTGGAGATGTATCCGGTGTGCGAAAAGGTCGATCGCACAGAACATACCTTACGGGAGTTGTCGATCCGCCACGACGCTTGACGCCAAGGGTATGGGATCAACAGCGATATCCCCGACGTGCCAGACTAACCATAGCTTGGAAGCGGAGCGCTTATTACCACCCTATCGAGCGCTTGCAAATCAGCCATTCAACGCAGAGTCGCTCGCACCAAAAGGCATAAAAGCAAGACCAGCAAGCCATCACGGCGTGAATAGGTGAAGATCAGCATTTTGTAAGTGGAAAGCACCGCGACTTCCCCGCTTGGCTGCAGAATCCCAATATCTTGGAAAGACCATCCAAAGCCACGCACGTCTAGCAGTGTGGCAGTAGGCCTCGGAAAAAGCACCCGCGCTATCAAACTGCGAATGCGGTATACGCGTGGTCAATAGTGCTGGTGTGCACCAGATGGCTATATAAACAGTGATCGTCTCTCCCTGTTTGTGACAGAGTCGAAGTTGTGAATCTTGCAAAGTCTCAGCAGAACAATACCGCAAACACTCCAACAACATCAATATGCACTCCCTTTTCTCCTTTGCCTCATTGGCACTTCTGGCCTCTACGGCCTCCGCCCTGTGTCCAACTGACATTCGCATCCAATCTTCAAACCAGGTCGCCATTGGTAAGAAGAGTTCCGCTCAGTACATCGGAATGGCGTGCTGACATCTTGCGTGTTCAGCCTACAACGCTCAAGGCCTTGGTAACTCAGCACGAGAGTTCGAGAAGGTCCCGTGGGGTTCTCCAAACCGCGCTGGCACATGTCTCACAACCATGTGAGTACGATCGACGTAGGACGACTACCAACAGCATCTGACACTATCTCCAGCATCCCTAATGGCCTTGGCTGTGCTATCCCGGTTGCAACCACGGGCGCTGGTACCTACCAATTTGCTGGTAAGCACAAAGCTTCATCAATGTACAACTAGACTTTTACTGACCATTCGTAGTCGAAACCCGACAAGTCTTCAATCAATTGAACGTCACCGAGATCGTCCGTATGTCAACCCGGTATCTCACCAAATGGTTCATTCACATTTCTAACTTCGTCCCAGCATTCAACAACGGAACCGTTTTGCTCAGTGTCGAAATCAGAGTTGGTGCCCGCGAGTTTGTTCCTGTACGTCCACGATATTCTCTGAACTCACAACATCGTTGAACAATGCTAACTTTGACTACAGCTTCCTGTCACCTTCCACGGATACGTCTACATGGACTACAACGATGACTGCCGCATCTACTCTGCACGAGCTTATGCCGACGTCCCAACCTCTGTCCTCGGACAGCTTGTTGCCATCGGTGCTCCAGGCGGTGGCCTCGGCCCTGTCTGCCAGCAGCTCCCTATTGGAGGTCAGAAGCGTGACGCGACCTTGTTCTCGGCATAGGTCAAGAATGGCCCAAGGCCGACAGCCTTCGTGTTTATTTCTTTCTGATGGATAACGACTTGACCACTTGTGCAGCGTGGCCTTGGCAGCCCGATGCTGGCTGACTGCGGAGGAATAATGCACCAGTATGCACAGTGTGCTATGTAGCAAGACTTTGCCTCCAAAGTTGAATGAAAGCCATGGACGTTCTTATCCTTTAGTCAGCCACACGCAAATCTCTTCACTTTCATTCTGCCCATCCTATCCTGCTATGCTGCGCTGCTGCTGCTCTAAACCTGAGCAGCAGAGAGGAAGCCACACAGCTGCGATACGGTCGTCAGTGTGCTGCAGTCACAATAACCGATCTCTTACACCCCAATGCCTTGAGAGAACATTTTTGATATAATTTTTTACACCTGCAATGTCCAGGCTCAGATGGCCCAATCTCGCTTTCATCGATGCAGACTATTGTTGACGGAAAATAGTGCCGCACGTGGTCTTTCATGTCGCAAGTGATCTTTCAGCAGATCCCTTCTGACTCCGACTTTTCAGATTTTCAGAGGCTCTCTTTTGACAGGACTGCGCCGTACAAGAACGCTGTCCCTTCTTGCAGATGCTCCGACGGCAGCACATCGCCAGCGACCGAACATGTCGTCCGCAAACAAAAGACTTGATCAAGTCAACAATCACATAAATCAAGGAAGTGCGCAAAGTGCAAACGAGCCACCGAGAATACTGTGTGAAGTCAAAGAACATAGACCAGGTCACCATGTCGCAACACTCATCCTAGGGGATCCGAACAAGTTGAACCTCATGAGCAGTCGACTATTCGAAGAACTGACTCAACACTGCCGGAACTTGAGCAAAAATGGGAAACTTCGCGCTGTGGTTCTCACAGGCAATTCTGGAAGCAAAAAGCCAGCATTCGTGGGAGGAGCGGAACTGTCAGAAGTGAGCAGCTTGTCTACAGCGGAAGAGGCGGGAGCATACGTGACAAGGACAATGGATGCTTGTTCAGCAGTCAGTGCTCTCCCGGTTCCTGTCATCGCACGCGTACACGGACTAGCAATCGGGGCGGGCGTACAACTGATGGCTTCGTGTGATCTCAGAGTCGCGTCCAAAACGAGCAGGTTCGCAATGCCTGAAGCGAAGGTTGGTCTTCCGAGTGCAATCCAGACGGCTTTACTTCCGGGCCTGATTGGGTGGGGCAATACAAGACGACTCTTGTATCTTGCTGAGGTGCTCTCTGCGGACAAGGCTCGAGAATGGGGACTTGTGGAGGAGGTAGTCCAAGACGAGGCCGAATTGGACAGCGTGGTCGATGAGTGGGTCAAGAAAATCGTCGATATGCCGCCGGAAAACATGCGACGACAGAAAAAGCTCGTCGCCTTGTGGGAGCAGTGTACAGTACAGGAAGGTATTCTTGCAGGCGTGGATGCAATGAGGGACACGTTTGTGGACGGTGGAAAGGAGACTCAAGCTCATATGAGGAAATTCCTGCACAAATCAGAGAAGTGAAGCATGGCGCACGCGGTAAAATCATGATACTAAGGCCAATACCTCTGGCGCATGATGGCCGCTGCGTTTGTCTTGGGTTCAGGGGCGAGTTTCACGAACTACTGCCTGCAGCACGCTTTCCAGAGGCTACAGACTGGCAAGAACTGCAGGACACACAGACTTGTCACACAGTGACCTCGCGCACGGCTCAGCGCTATATTTGACGAGCTTGGGTACCCTTCATTGATCCGAAAGTCTGTCCGAAAACATTGTGCAGGTACTGGCAGGTCTTGAATAATACGCTGGTCCAGTGAGTGAGCTCATAAGCCATCAGGTGGAGGGTTCAGCCAGCCATCGAGCTGCTGTAGGGTTCTCCAGGATGATCTGGAGCAGGTCTTGAATACGATAGCTTTGACATTGAGTACATTTGAACAGATGTTGTTCGTGAGATTGCAAAAGGGCAACATCGCCAACAGTGGTTGCTGACTAATCAAGCACGATCAATTTTGGAATCTCCTGGTCGAAGCTTTCATTTATTTCCTCCAATGCGCTTCCCCCAAACAGACTTGCCTGTGTTGTCAACGTCTCACGCGACAACCACGCCGACATCCACTTTCTTCACAATCTCAGAGAGAAGACTGCATAACACTGAACATCAAGTGCTCTGCACGCATATCTATGATGTGTGCAATGTCGACCGAGCCGTCCGTAGCCCAGAGGTGGCTCTTTTCCGTCGCATTTCCGGGTCAGTAACATGGCGGGACCGCACTTCCGACGAAGGCGACTCGAGAGGGGCGTGATGCTGTATAGCAGCAGGTGAAGTGTACTATTATAGGTTGAATATCGCTCTGCTATTGGCTTGAACACATTACTCAACGACCTGTAGCAAATTCAGCTTTGTCACCATGTCGCCTCCTACTGAGCTCGACTGCCTCATCATCGGGGCCGGATTCGGAGGATGTTACCAACTCAAGCTTCTGCGTGATGCAGGTTTCTCGACCAAAATTGTCGATGCTGCGTCTAGCATCGGAGGCGTGTGGGCATGGAACAAGTACCCCGGAGCACGCGTCGATGTGGAAATGCCATATTATGGTTACTCCGACCCGGCTGTCTGGTCGACATGGAACTGGACAGAGCGTTACCCTGGCCAAGTCGAGATCTCGGCATATTTTGAACATGTTGCCAAAGTCTGGGATCTTCATAAGGATGTCCAGCTCGGCGTGAGAATCGTCAGCGCAACGTATGTTCAAAATGAGAACGGGCCTCGATGGGAAGTGGTTGCACAGAATGGAGACAGCTATGTGGCAAAATATCTCATTTGCGGAACTGGCACTTCGTTCAAGCGACACATCCCACCTTGGGAAGGCTTCGACAGCTATCAAGGAACAATCCACCACTCTTCCCTCTGGCCAGACGGCGTTGATCTGCGCAACAAACGCATCGCTATCATCGGAGCCGGCTCAACTGGCGTCCAAATAGTCCAAGAATCAGCCAAAGTATCATCCAAGGTTACGCATTTCATCCGCACACCCAACATAGCACTACCCATGCGTCAACGCCAAATCTCGCGGGAAGAACTCTACGCCTACAAACCCATTTTCCAGCACGTCCTCTCAGCTTGCCGCACAACCCCCGCTGGTCTTCCCACGACAAACACCGGAATCAAAACATTCGACATCAGCGAATCCGAGCGCCGCGAATTATTCGAGGAAATGTGGGAGCGAGGAGGCTTTAACTGGTCCATCGGCGGACTTGCCGACACATTGACAGATGAAGCAGCGAACCGAGCAGCATACGATTTCTGGGCAGAGAAGACACGACCTCGAATCAAGAATCCTCAAAAGCGTGATCTCTTGGCTCCACTGGAACCCCCGTATTATATTCTGACGAAACGCCCGAGTCTGGAGCAGGACTATTACGAGATGAGTGATCGGGATAATGTTGATATTACGAATTCGCCTATTCAACGATTTACCAAGACTGGAATCGAGACTGCGGATGGGAAGTCTGAAGATTTCGATATTGTGGCGATATGCACAGGCTACGATGCTGTAACGGGTGGACTTATGACTATGAATATCAAAGGTGCGAATGGAGAGTACCTGCACGAGAAATGGTGAGTGCCTTAGTTTCCCCTATCACATTCCCCGCATCTACTGACAGATTTCGCATCGCAGGCGCGACGGTGTCACAACTTTCCTCGGTCTCACAGTCGAAGGCTTCCCCAATATGTTTATGCTTTATGGACCACAAGGTAAACCATAGCTCACCTCTGTTGAAAGATTCTAAACTAACGAACCTACCTTCAGCCCCAACATCTCTAACTAACGGCCCACCTTTCCTCGAGCTCGAATGCGAATGGGTACGAGACGTTCTCGAGCGAATGCGAACAGAAAATCTCTCGACGATCGATGCGAAGCGCGAGAAAGCCGAAGCATGGCGAGACCAAGTGCTACAGCTTGCTGAAGGGACACTTGCTATTCATACGAATTCTTGGTTAGTATTTCCTTCCCGTTTCCACGAACCTCGTTCCCTTGCTGGATCTGAGACTGACTTGTTGGTAGGTACATGGGCGCCAACGTACCAGGCAAAAAGCGAGAGTATCTGCTTTATCTTGGAGGTGTTCCAATGTGGCATGATGCATGCCGTGAAGCGATTAAAGATTGGGAAGGGTTTCGTGTTGAGCAGGCAAAACTGTGATTGACAGCGAGAATAAGTGCTTTGATCACATATTTTTTGTGCTGCTGAAAGACAAAAGTGCCAGAATGTGATCCTGGCTGTGCAAGTGTTGCGAGCAGAATCGTCGAGAGGCATCTTGGGTATCACAGGACCAGAGCGCTCGGGTATTCATGGTTCCACAGAAAGATGCCCTGCCAGATGTGTTCAATAGCAAGTACACAGCAAACATATTCTCGAAAACGATTCAACGACTCAAATCGCTGAGAAGAACGTAAATGGCATTATCCATCTCATGCGTCGTAACTCACTGCAACTCTCATTCCACGTCCCATGGGCCATCTATTATATATCTCTAAGCCAGGCAAAATATACCCTTCACCTGTATTGGAAAAGCGCCCTACACACCATCCTCACCATCCAGCCCAACAGACATCATCAATACGTCCCCGGAATCTGCGAAATCCTCCCCCCATCCACAATTAACACATTCCCATTAACATACGCTCCCGCAGCCGAAGCAAGATACAACACCGTCCCCGCCATATCCGCCGAACTACCCAATCTCTCCGCCGGAATAAATTTCCTATCATAAGCTCCCTCAACCGAAGGATCCTGTCCCTTGGAATCTCCCGCTCCAGCAATAATCCCCGCTGCAAGATCCGAAGGGAAAAGTCCAGGTGCTAAAGCGTTTACTCGAATTGAATAAGGTACAAAAGCACCGGAGAGACCTTTGACGAGATGTGTTGTGGCGGCTTTGGAGAGTGGGTAAGCTCCTATGGCGTTGGGGTTGCGCAGGTAGCCTGCTATGCTGCTTGTGACTAGGATTTGAGATTTGCGGCCAGGGCAGTTGGATCTTTGGTTTCCGGCGGAGAGGAGGGGGAGGAAGGTGAAGGAGGTGAAGGCTACGGCTGTTGTGTTGATTGCGAAGCAGTCTATACAGTTGGTCAGTATTTGAGATTGTAGCTTGGAATCACTTATGAAGTGGTCATTTCGATAGGTGGTGTTTGGGACATACCATTCCATTGCTCCATCCCCTGCTCAAGACCTAATCTCGCAAACTCTTCCACGCTTACATCTCCTGGCTTCGCAACTGGAGGAGAATACACCCCACTATTGCAAACCAAAAGATTCACAAAACCTATTTCGTTCTTGACTTGCTCGGCAACTTTCGAGAGACTTTCTTTTGATCCTACGTCGCCGACGATGGGAATCACGTTTCCGTTGACTCCGGCTTCGCGTGCAGCTTCTTCGAGCTTTTCTTTGCGTCGGCCGACGATGTACACTTTTGCTGCTCCGTTCTTGGCGAAGGCTTTGGTCATCATGCGGCCGATTCCGGTCTGTGATTCTCGGTTTTAGTATGCTGTTTATGGCTGCGATAGGATCGTGGTCAAGGAAAGCGTACTCCTCCGCCGGTGATTACAATGACCATGCCGGCGACGCTGAATAGCTTGGCGGGATCTACTGTGTTGGGATCCATGATTGAGGACCAGGTTCGCAAGGCTGGGATGAAGGTAATTGGATGCAGGACTTGCACGAGGTTGTTGTTCGTGTTGATGTGTAAGCTCGACTGAAGCTCCTACTTCATGCGCGGCCTTGGCATCAAGGATGAGGCACGAACGGGCACTGAGTGGGAACATCGACAGAATTTCGTCATGCTCTTCATCCCCGAAAGGTGTGACGTACAAGAAACATTGATAGTGCAGATAAGGGAGGTCACAGCGTAGCACTCGATAGGATGCGCGGAATAGTGATAATGTTACACGCTTCCTATTCTTCAGAAACAGCAATGCCAGCATCTTCGTTTTCAATGCGCACCTTCCATTCCTCCACATTTTCGCCTCTTTGTGCCATCACATGTGCAACTGTCTCGGAAAAGGTCTCTCCGTTATTGACGAACCAATCTCCCAGACCTCTGACATGCATCTCAACCTGTGCCTTGAGAGGGCAATTGTCCCGCAGATACAGAATCTGCTCGGGATCCATTTTCATCATGTCTTCCACGACATAATAGTGCGAGATGTCATCTCCCCAACCCTCTGCACCAGGTTCGTGGAATCGTGATGGAGAAAGTCGCGATTGGTAGCGAGAGGAGGCTATTGAGGAGTTGTAGTACCATCCGTCTGGCACGAATGACGATGGCGCTGGAGGGTAGTTTAGGTGGATGTTGAAGAGTAGTTGCTGGTTGCTGTCGGGAAAGCGCTTGGAGAACTTTTGTCTGATTTTGCCGTTGGAGGGACAGATGTTGTTGGCGATCATGTCCTTGAGAATGTTGTGGACATCCATCATTTCTGCAAGCTCGGCGTTTGACCAATTGTGCAAGAGCGCAGCTCGATTGAACACCGTGCCCGGCAAGGTGCGGCACGTACGTACGTGGGCGGCATTGTGAAAGGCTTTGTCATACAGCCACAGGCGGTAGATGGCACGTCTCAATTTGTAGCGTTCTGAATCGCTCAACAGCCGACGATTGGCATAGTCTGTTTTCCACTTCTTGAATGTGTAGATCTCTTCATAGCGCTGTGCGATTCGTCCTGCCTTGACGATCTGACGAAGGAACGCGTCCGAGACGGGGACATCGCGCTGGGTGTGTGCAGGTTGCGAGTTGTTCTGAGTCAGAACCTGGACCACGTCTTGAATAGGTCCGAACTCGGATTCGACGGCAGCTCGTAGGATGTCGAGCTTCTTCGATGAGTGGTAGTTGTCGTAGAAGCGACTGTTGGTGGAGGATAGTGCGATGGCAGATGAGATGCTCGGGAGAGACAGAAAGATCTGCGTCAACAGCTCGCTTGGGAGGTGATCGAAGTGCATGGTTGCGGTTGTCGACAATAAGCAATCGGTTTTGGCGTGGACTAGCTCCAGTGTCCGATATGCAGGCTTCTTCTTGTGTTATGTATGGATCTGTTGATCGTGTTTGACGGCGATCGGCTACCAGACGGTCTCGAAAGAGTACGTCCAGTAGTGTAGATATAAATTAGGAGACAAACACCCCAATCGCGATGGGGCTATCAAGGTCGGACTGAGATCCATGGATGACACACTCGGATGGCGACGCCGGCCCATGATGGGCGCTCGTGGTGATGTTGTCCATTGTGCAGTGTGTAGAAGAAGAGGAAGCAGAGCGAGCGAGATGCGAGATGGAGGTCATGTATCAATAACAAGGAGGCTGTCGCTAGCGCGGTGCCACGAGGGAAGCTCCCCGGAACTCTCGCCATCCACCCAACTCTCGCGTGTTCGCCTGTTCGCTCCACCGCCTGCGATCATACTGATCGGGCATGGATCAAGGCCATTACAATTGCAGAGACTACTACATCTCGCCGCACTTTGCGCCCACCACCGTCGCCAAAACCATCCACACCCGCTCGCCCCTGCTCTTCCGCCATGAGAGCTTCGACGAACTCGAGCAGCGCTCGCGCAGTCCGCTCAAGACGAGCAGGTTCCCCTTCCTGCGCTTGCCCCTAGAGATCCGGCAAGAGATATACAGCTATCTTCTCCCGCGCACGATCGAGCATACGAAGCCCAACCCGTTGGCGCAACATGCCCGCAACTTCTCCGCCGTCAAGAAGCGCACCGCTCGTGGCATGATCGTACCGCAAAGCGAGCCAGGATATTCAAGAGCGGCGCATATTGTGTGGCAGAGGGGTAATATCCGCCTGCTGTCCGTATGTCGGCAGATGCATGGTGAGTGTGCAGAGCTGCTGTATGGCAATAGCACATTCCTCCTCTTTGTGACGTACCTGGGCATCTCGTTCCGCTTCAACTGGCTGCTGCTGTCCGGAATGGCGCCACAGAGAAAGTACGATTTCCTTGAACTTCTCCCTACGAAATACATGGCTTTGGTCAAGCGCGTCGTGGTCAATGTGGATCATGTTGATAGCTACACCGGCATGATCAAATTCAATGTCAGCGGGAAAGGCTTGACGCATGGCCTGCGAAAGCAGGTCCAGCGTCTTGTGAACGTGCTGCGACCATCTCCGCTTGCCACGCCCGAAGTAGCAGACGAAGACGATGATGGCTGGTCCGATATTCGCTCGGAACGGGACCGTCGACTGGCCAAGGTGCACATTCGTGTCTCCAACGGCAACGCCGTTCTCGATCAGATCAAGAGCGAGGTTGTACGCAAGCGTGAAGGCGGCATTAGAGTCAATGAGGATCTGGAAGAGATGCTTGAGCCATTTGGCGAGCTACACGGAGTACGTGAAGTGGAAATAACTGGCGCTGTGACCGACACCTTCGCTGAGAGCCTACGAAAGACCATGATGGACACGACGACAAGGAATGAATCAGCGACTGTCGCGCGGAGCATACGTGACCTGCATTTGCATCCCTCGCTCGACCCGACATCTGAATTGCATTTGAATGAGCATGAAATTTGATGAATGATGAGACACGATTATAACGACGCCTGCACGACATGTAGATACTCCAGGCTAGATTCAAAGTACAACTTACTGGCCAATATCAGGTCCATGCGCTCTATTCATGTGCTTCGTCAGGGCTTGTTGGGCATTGGATACGGATATCAGCCCATGCCGCGACTAGGAAGTACGCGTTACGATAGCACAGACTTCTTAACATGCACCACACCCAAGACCGTCAAGAAAGTGAACACGCAAGGCTGAGGCAGTTGTCAGGCAATTCTGTGCCTAGACTTCATCCACTTTGGCTTGGCGAGCGTCATATCCCAAGCCTGATTCTCGTCACTACTTGTTTGTGAACCTTATCCGCCCTCGACATCTCACTCGCACGTGGCAGCGCTGCTGGGGTCGAATCACATCTCTTGCTTTACGTGCAGCACCAAGAAGCAACAATGCTTGGCTCCCAATGGCGTCTCTGCTCGCTCCGAGGAGCAACTGACTTTGGTGATACGTATATAAGTGGTGACTGCATGCCACGCACGGCTGAACGGTAGGGCCTTATCGACTTCCATTTGAACGCTCCTTGCGATGGAAGAGCTAGCACCCGTCATCTCAAAGGACTATCGCCCACTGACAGACCAGGAAATCGAGGAATTCTTCAAGGCTTTGGACGTCAACAATGATGGTCACGTCAATTTTGCCGAGTTGGAGAGGAAGCTGCACGAAGTGCATGAAGAGTTAGCACCGAAGCTACAGAAACATCACATTCTACACCCAGCCCGAAGAGACGCAGAAAAGCGCGTCGGACACGATGGAGATGGACTGCACGCGTTCCTCTGTCACCTTATGCCAGACTGTGGCGCAAAGCTGAGCAAAGACGAGTTCATCCGACATGTCAAGACGTGGGAAGTGCCGAGTCAGAAACAGAGCGATTCACAAGAGACCGATAAAGAGGCCAAGCAGGAAGAGAAGAAGCTGCCATTCCGACGACGTCTGCGTGCGTACTGGGCTGTTCATGGTCCCAATATCCTCTTCGTGGCATTCGTGGTCGCCTGCATGATCGCGTTCGGTGTATGGCAAATGGTCATATACATTCAGAACCAACCCGCACGACAGGCACTCGGCTGGGGCGTTATCATGGCCAAAGCGAATGCTGGTGTGCTCTACCCTACATTCGTCTTCATGCTGCTGAGTATGAGCAGACATTTGTCGACTTTCCTGCGTCGCAGCTTCTGGATCTCCAAAGTTATCAATTGGGATTTGAGTCAGAAGTTCCACATCATCATGAGTATTGCTGGCCTGTTCTTTGCAACGCTGCATGCCATTGGTCATCTTACTGGTACGTTCCTGTATGGATCGCGACCGGCGCAACAGGACAATCTCGCAGCGATTCTGGGTCCTGAAGCAACGCCAAAACGCTATGTTGACTTTGTGCGCACTTTGCCTGGGTGGTCCGGCATCGTTAGTCTTGGCCTCTTCTGGACTATCAGCTTGATGAGTCTGCCAATGATTCGGAACTGGAACTACGAAGTTTTTCAGCTGGGCCATTTGCTCATGTTTCCCATGTTTGGGCTACTCGCAGCTCACGGCACAGCTGCATTATTGCAAGCTCCTATGCTGGGCTATTTTCTGGCATTTCCCGCGCTTCTGGTTATCTTCGAGCGACTGCGACGATTCATTCGTGGCTTCTTGAGCATGCCAGCAAGAATAAAGGTTTTGGACGAAGATGCGGTTTGCATCTCGATCAAAACGAAAGACGGATCGGACTGGTCGTCGTATAATGCCGGACAGTACATCTTGTTGCAGGTGCCACAGCTCGCCTTGTTCCAATGGCATCCGTTTACGATCTCAGCATGCCGTGGCGATGAGATGCAAGTGCACATCAAAGTCGAAGGTGACTGGACAGAGGGACTTCGCGATCTCGGTCTCAAGCAGTCGAGAATCAAGGTCGGGCTCGATGGGCCATTCGGTGCTCCTGCACAGCGCTTCTACGATTACGACTATTCCATCATTGTTGGAGGTGGAATTGGCATCACACCGTTCTCTGCCATCTTGACAGATCTCGAAGAAAGCTTCAAAGAACGCCGCGATCCCTGGGAATCACGACGCAGCTCCACCTCAATGTCCCGTTCCCTATCACGAGGCGTGGTCCGCTCACGCACCAGCTCCCGCCACGCTTCACGATCCCGCCGCTCCTCCCCAGCATCGACTCCAGTCAAAGAGCGCAGCGATGACGACGCACCCCTCACCACCGAAGAACCCTCCTCTATAAACCCCAACCCCACCGGCCCTCCCCCTCGCTGCATAAACCCCGACCGCCGCGTCGACTTCCACTGGACCGTCCGCGAAAAGAACAATCTCCTCTGGTTCTCCGACCTCCTCAACCGCGCCATAATCGGAGCTGGCCCCCTCGCCCAACAAAACAAACTCGACCTCAACATCAACACGCACATCACGGCCAAACGCAAAGACATTTCCGTTCACATTTTCCGCTACATCCTCGATGGCTACCGAACTGAAGCAGCGCCGTATTCTGCTTTGACGGGTTTGAAACAGCGGAGTCATTTTGGACGACCGGATTTCGATAAGATTTTGGAAAAGCATTTTCAGGATTTGGTGGATGATGGAGTGAGAGACAAGAAAGTTGGGGTTTTTGTGAGTTCTTCCTTTTCAAAGTTTGGTTTTCAATGTGTGAGATTTTTGTTGCTAATGTGTTGATAGTACTGCGGAGCACCTGTCGTTGGTGAGATTCTGTCTGATCGATGTCATGAACTTACGGCCAAGGCGCGTGATATGGGGTTGAAGATAAGATATGACTTCCTTATGGAGGTTTTTGGTTGATTGTTTTGTGCTTGATTGAGCGAAGGCGTTATGGGGAATGAATGTACGTTAGCGAGGAAACAGGCTGTGGAAGCAGAAGGCGATTGAAACTGAAGCCATACTATCCGGCCCGAATGATGAGGACGATACAACATCCGGAACGACTGAGTTGGTTCTTCGTGTGAGGCACTTTGATAGGTTGTAATCAGTAACTAGAAGTTCGATTCTGCACTGGAGTGGAAATATCTCACAACGAAGTTGATCACGTTTGCCAAAAAGAATGCTGAGATTTTGTTTCGAGATCAAGGCGTGAATCACCGATTAGCCTCCACTGTTGTCTTTACACTGCGTGCTATCATATGCAAGCACCCCTCAAGTTGTAATAACTTCCAGCTTTCACCCAGCCTTATTTCTACGGCATCTCCTTACGCCAACCCCTTCTCCTCCACAACCCTCGTCTCACTCTTACTCCTCTCAACCTCAGCCGCCGCCTCCGCGATACTCAAATTCCTCCCATCCTTCTGCACCTCACTAAACTTGATCTCCGGCACAAACTTCGTACTCTCCCAAGCCTTCGACACCCGTGCATAAAGTTCATCAACTTCCTCAAGCGACAAACCCTTAGTTTCGTAAATACAAAACCAAACGAAAGAGATGCAGACGAAACAGAAAGAACCCCAGATGAAGAAGACTTTGGATTGGAGGTTTGCGTTTCCGGGGCCGTCGTTGACGAGGTAGGGGGTTGAGTAGGCGATCGCCCAATTGAGGAGCCAGTTGCCTAGTTGTAATAGGTAAGCAAATGTCATCACTCACGCTCGAAGCCTTCAGGCCGAAAGGAGTACTTACTAGCCGTCGTAAGCGACAAACACTTTGCTCGAACCTTCAATGGGAAAAGCTCTCCAGTAACGACCCAAGCGACCGGACCCCAGGAGGAAGCGAAGAAGAAGATGTAAATGCAAACGAACGCTACAGCCGCGCGCTGAGCAGACAAGTTGTCTTCTGGGGCGGCCGTTCCAGTAATTGCGACGATGAATTGGCAGATACACATGCCAATAGCTCCCATGAGCAGAAGACCTCTTCGACCCATTTTCTCGACGAGATAGAGACCAGGCAGAGTAGAAACGACGTTGACGACGTTAGTGATGACTTGAATCGTAAAGCCACCAGCCTCGAAACCGGCGTTTTCGAAATATTGCGTTCCGTAGTAGAACTGTCAAAGGTAATCAGCAAAACTCACACACAGAATCTGATGAAATTGAACTCACAATGAAGTTAACACCAGTAAGCTGCTGCAAAGCCTGCAAAGCACAACCAGTCGCAAGTCGCTTTCCAATAGAACCCTTCACAATATCCAAATACGAACTCTTACCCAAGCTCAACTCATAATTATGGTTCGCCTGAATCTCAGATAACTCTTCAATAACAGCCGGGTGATCCGCAGGCAAACGACGAATCTTCGCGAGAGCCGCAGCAGCAGCTTCAGATTTATCCTGTTTGATCAAGAATCGAGGCGTCTCTGGCAGAATGAACATGCCAACACAGACGATAATTGACCAGGCGAATTGGACCGCGATGGGGATACGATAACTTCCAGAATCGTCGCGGTTCTTGGTGGCGTAGTTGACGATGGCGGCAAGGAAGAGACCCTGTTCAAGGCGTTAGCCAACCACATCTCCAGTCAATCCCCAGCATCACACCCACAATAGTAATAGCCCACTGATAAGCCCCCACAATCGTCCCTCGAATCCACTTCGGCGCAGTCTCAGACTGATAAAGCGGAACCATAGCAGAAAGCAAACCCACTCCATACCCGGCAAAAAAACGTCCAGCAATGAGCAAAGGCTGCGCAGTAGCCGCGGTTTGCAAAATGACTCCGAGATTGAAAACGATCCCGCAAGAGAAAATCAATCCCCAGCGACGACCGAGACGATCGGAGACGGGGGCGGCAGTCAAGGCTCCGAAGAAAGTTCCAGCAGAGAGGATGGAGACGATGAGGGAGTCTTCGCTGGCGGTGATGCGTTCGTTGTTGCCGGTTCGGAAGGATTCGATGAAGTAGGGCATGGCGAGGATGCCGGAGATTGTGCCGGTCTATATCGTAGTCAGTCTTCATTCGCGGTTATTTGTGCTCTTGTGAAACGGGATGGCACGTACATCATATCCAAAGAGGACACCACCAAAGGCCACGAACAGGCCGATGACAATAGCGGGCCATGTCTTGCCAGGCACATCGGCCGGCTTCTTGATCGCAAGACCCATCTTGTTGTTAACTCTCAATAGAGGCAACAAAAAGGACAACAGCTCGCAAAAAGCTGATCAGAAGAAGAAGAAAAACCCCGGGAACGAGACAGAAGAGACGTCGCAGATTTATATCGCTCAACAGAAGACGGAACCTACCACTTGTGTGAGCACTACACGAGACCACGCAACAGTCCATTGCACGATGGGCAGTGCCCCGGTGCAAGGCGAATCCATGCCAACCTCATGGTCGATCCCCAGAATCACGCCTACCAACCTGGTCAACGCTCCGCACAGCTCCACGCTTGCCCCAGCTGTAGGGCTGTCTGGTTGCCGGATGTGCATTGGTGGCCGTACTTTCATACTTTGAGCTACGCTGGCGCTTCGGCATCTAATGATATGGTGACCACCGGTGAAACCTAACCTTTTCGTCTTGATGAAAGTCTTGGGTGAGCACTGCCAAGCATAATCTCTCATCTCTTGATCTGATGGCTTCATGTGCAGATGCTTATGTTTCCTCACGTTTTCTTGCTAAATATGCGCAATACTGCAATAAGATGCCATTCCGTTACTCTGCATGAACACCTGTTGCTGGATTGTCAGTGGCAGCTCACGAAGTCTTCTCGAACCTTTCTCAGAGCGACTGAGCTGGGTTATCATCGGTGCCAAGCTCGGAGGTAAAGCTCACACAACTGGGCGTCCTTGGCATGACTGACCTGATGTAGAAAGACGGGCGCAATGTCGGGTTATAGCATGGATTGCAGTGCATAAAAGAGCGCGACCAGGATGCCAATCGGTCCGTTGATGCATGCTGCGCATTCGATCGCTCTTCTGGATTGTTCGCGTGCATGATCGTGCTGTTCCGTGGCTGTGAAGGAGTTCATGTGAAGGGCTAAACGATCGAATCTGTCCTATCAGCTTCAGTATCCTGCCTTTGCAGTTGTGTTTAGCATGCCATTAAGTTCTGGCGACCGAAGTATGGGACAACGACTGCGTCATCTTTCGTAGCCTATTTTCTTGAAGCGAACTGCAATAGTAAGGTTGTTCGTCAGACGTTATCGATGCATAGTCGATCCTACAGGCGAAAGGATGTTGCTGAATGGATCCCATCCTGCCACGTCGGTTCATGACAGACGAACTGACTGCGACTGAGGACTAGAGCGGGATTAGTGTAAGCAACAGAGGCAAAAGAATGTACAACTCACATCAAGAGCTCGAACTCGTTCCACCTCTCTAGTGACTGGTCTGATCTCCTGTAGGGCTTCAACAAGTCCGAGACAGTCGAATGTGCGCGTCGACCTTCGGCGAGCTGGCGCATTGGTTTCGAAGTCTTGAAAGAAGAATCAAAGACCAACAGGTTGCGAGAGCCATTGCGCTGCCGCTCCAATCCTACGATCGTCATGGAGTGACCGAATCGTTGGAGATAGATGGGAGGAAGCTGCGTGACGTACGATGTGCCATGCACTCGAGCACCATCGATCCCGCTCATATAGAAGGCCTCGACGTAGTCAAGGAGGTCGGCCGCTGCAGTTTTGCCGTCATCATTCCCTCCGTTAGAGAAAGTCAGAGCATCGACCTTGACGCCAATTTGGGTGAAGAAGGCCAAAGCTTCAGTGGTACCGATCCACTTTCGAGTGTTCAGCACACCACCAGTCTGGACCTTGCCGTAAGTACAAATGCCGTTCTCCCACGCGCGTTCGATGACTTCTTGCATTTCAATCACATGCGGCATCCCTTGCGGTCCTTCACGATCCATGTGTTGCACGTATGTCAGGAGTACCTGGGAGCTCCAGAAGCCGCAGAAGTTGCCCTCGCACTCGATCTTGTGGATGTGCCGCGTACTCGGGTGACAGAGGTAGGTTGCAACAGTATCTTTGTCAAGCGCACAAAGGTCTGCGATGGCACGTGGAAGACCTTCTGTCTCGTTCGGGACCACGCGATGCCGATACAGAGCGCCATTGCTGCCAATTCGTTGCACAGTCTGAGGCTCAGGACCATAGATGAGCGCTTTCCGGACGTTCGAGGGCATAGTCTTCTCGAAAGCATAAGGACCAAGCTCTCGCTTCCCGAGCCTGCCAGGATTTCGCGGCACTTGTATCGCACGCAAATTGGAGCGAGTGAGTAACGAGGAGGATCCGGAGAAGTAGCTCAAGAGAGTGTTGCTCGTCGACCTCCGTGCTTCTCTCAGTCTATCAGAGCGAGTGCTGCTACTGGAGTGCCTGTCCTCTTTCTCTTTCGAGCGGCGCTTCTCAGATCTGGGAGAGGACGGCATTTCCGAGGTTGAACGATCCGCCGTCTTCTGTGGCCGAGTCGGACTGGGTACTGGACTGACACTTCGACGAGGTGGGAGCGGCGGTGCAAGCTCTTCGCGACTCTCCTTGTCGGACAATTCCGCTGCTGCATGGAAGTCCAGATGCTCGTCTATAGCAGACAAGAGCACATACTCTCCACATCCGCGGCGTGTGCACTTCGTCCATGTGTCGCCTGGCATGGATCCGCTGTCGCGTGCGGTGTTTGCGGAAGAATGTTGCCCTCCATCCTGCACAGCAAACGGCGAGTCTTCTGTGTGGTACTCTTCGATATGAAGCTGGATGAAGTACTCGTCGCCATCGATGGAGTTGCAGAATGGACAGCGGATCTTGGCCATGTTAGCGATAGGGGTCCCGCGTGGTGCGATGCTCCGAGGTGGGATGTAGCATAATGCGGTGGTTTGCCGGCAAGTGTTTGTCGTCGTCGGGTGCGCTCATCGGTCAGGCTGCCACTTGCAACTTGTTCAGCGCATTCGCCACAGCAGGACGCGTCGTCGTGGAAAGCACAGCCCACTCTGTGCAACCTCGCCTGTTTTATTGCTCGTGCTGGCCTGAGGAACTGGCGCCAAGAGCTGTTCACTCTTGCGATGACTTACCACTTCTACTAACAGGTATAGTGAATAGTGAGACCACTCAACTGAATGTTTTATTGCCTCTCTCTCACCGCTCAAAACAGGCTTCACGTTCCCCTCCAACTCGGAGAAGACAGGAACAGACGTTCTCATGACTCAGCAGAACCATTGGGTGCGTCATGCGGGGCTTGCCGACGCCGACCGAACGCAGCGGTGTTTTTAATTCGCGAGTCACTCTCAATCTTTCCTACTCCTAAAAAATGGCGACTCACGCGATAACTCCAGGACGGAACCACTCCGGTCATCAACATGGCAACCATCATCCTCGGCGCGCAGTGGGGTGACGAAGGCAAGGGCAAGATTGTCGATGTCATTGCACAAAACGGCGTGCAGCTGTGCTGCAGGGCTCAAGGTGGTCATAATGCGGGACACACCATTGTGAAGAATGGGAAGAAGTTTGATGTGCACATCTTGCGTAGGTCTACTCTGCACACTTGCGCGACTCGATGCTGACAGTCTGATAGCTTCTGGCGTTCTCACAGACGGCTGTGTCAATCTGGTCGGAACTGGATGTGTGGTTCATGTGCCAAACTTTTTCAAAGAGATCGAGCAATTGGAAAAAGAAGGAATCAACACCAAAGACCGCATCCTCGTCAGCGATAGATGTCACGTTGATCTCGACTTGCACACCAAGGTCGATGGTCTGGAAGAGGTTGAGCTCGGCAAGGCGAATATTGGCACAACAGGAAAGGGCATTGGTCCAACATACTCCACCAAGGCCTCCCGCACCGGTGTCCGCATGGCTGATGTCTTCACCAAAGAGATCTTCGACTCTAAGGTGAAGCATCTGTATAACGGCTACAAGAAGCGTTATGGCGATCTTCTGCAGTACGACCCGGAAGAGGAAATTGCTCGCTTCGACAAGTATCGCGAACAGCTCAAGTCGTACGTTGTCGATCAAATACCGCTCATCGATTCTGCGGTCGAAGGCAATGTCAAGATACTGGTGGAGGGTAGCCAGGCAGCGTTACTGGATCTGGACAACGGCACATACCCATATGTCACGTCTTCCAACACTGGTCTCGGCGGCGTCATGACTGGTCTGCAACTGAGCCCTCGCAAGATTGACGAGATCATTGGAGTGGTGAAAGCTTACACCACCCGTGTTGGATCAGGACCATTCCCCACAGAGTTGCAAAATGAGATTGGTGACAAGCTCGTTGACATTGGAAAAGAGTACGGCGTCACCACTGGTCGCAAGAGACGTTGCGGATGGCTCGATCTCGTCGTTGTCAAATTTTCTCACAGTGTGAACCGATACGATTCGATCAACTTGACCAAACTCGATATCCTGGACGACTTCGACGAGCTCAAGGTGGCCACAGAATACCATCACAATGGCCGCAAGCTCAACTCCTTCCCCACCGACCTCAGCATTCTGGAGAAGGTTGACATCACGTATCAGACATTCCCAGGCTGGAAGAGCAACACCGTCGGCATCAAAGACTGGAACAAACTGCCTGAAAATGCTCGCAAATACGTTGAGTTCATTGAGAAGTTTGTGGGCGTGCGAGTCAAGTATATCGGCACGGGACCAGGCAACGAGAACATGATCATACGGTAGTATGGGTGCGAATGAGACACGCGCACATATTCCTTTGCAGCTCTTTCTCCATAGATTGGTAGGCTTGAAGCCGGGGGTTGGCAACGACGGTACATGAGAACGCTCCATAGCGCAGAGCGTAGACATTGAAAATCAAATTTGAATCCAAAGTCTCTGGTTTGACATGAGTTGTGACCAAGTGCGCTCTTCTTGTCTTGATCGTACTTTGTATTGGTGGAACTTGCCACAACTTGGGAGAGGCATCAGCCAAAAGCCTAGACCCGCTTTGTGATGATGTGATCGCGTGAATTTATCAGTGCCCGGACAGCAAGCGAAATTTTGAGAGATGGTGGTAGAAAAAGTCGCCTTCACGCTTTCAAATTTCGTGTTATGTGATGCGACTGTCCAAGGTGCTCAGCGCTGGTAGACGGTAGTACTTCGATGGCCACTCGCGCAGACACGCGACACACGAATGTACCTGCCACGAAGATTCATCCGACCAAACGCACACAACCAAGTCGCAAATTATCGCCTGTTTCAGCCCTTCCAACTCCATATCCTTCAATCGAGTTGAATATCCCTTACTCCTCCTTAGCACCCCCACGACCCGCCTTCTCCGCCGCCTCAATACTCTTCTTATCCGTCTTAATCTCGCCCGCACCCTGATTCAACGCGCCCATCATGCCAGCATTCGCCTTCCAAGGTCTCTTCAAATCCCCGCTCGCCGAGTGTCCCAACATGTGCACTTTGACCAAATTTCCCTCGAAAGCGCCTTTGAGTGGGATGATGGATTGGATGAGGAGTGGGTTGGTGTATTTGAAGTATAAGTGCATCACGGCCATCATGCCGAGACCCATGAGTTGGGATTTGAAGAGGCCTTTGAGTTGTTGTTGGTCGTAGGCGTGGATTGTGGTTGTGACGGCTTTGGGTTCTTCGGTGCTGCCCATGGGGGCGGGTTCGACGTATTTGAGGACTGTCATGTCTGTGGCGAGGACGAAGTGTCAGATTCGGTCTTGTACGGTCATGGGGTTTGGGAGTAGAAAGCTGGACTTACCCTTCTTCTTGTCGATTTGCATCTTGACGTACATGTAGATGCCGAAGATGATGATGTTGCTGACGATGTAGAGACCGCGCACGCCCATGAGGACGTTGGGGTCTTCGAAGGGGATCTTCTTGCTGGCCTGCATCATCACGAGGATGATGACGAGGTTGGTGCTGTTGCTACATGTCAGTCTTTGCGATTCTGTGCTGCAATAGATTGTCGGCGCCTGCGCGCTCTGTCGCACTCACATTTGCGGATTCATGTTGGCGGTGGTTCCGTGGGCAGTCGCGGCTTGCGGTAGAGTGTTGTCGCGCGACGTGAAGAAAGTTGAGAAGAAGGTCGAAGATGGGAAAGAAGTAGCAAGAGCACGAATCCTTTCCGCAAAAACCCACGTATCTTCACTTCGGCTGTCAACTCTCTTTCAGGGTTCTTTGCCAGCGGCGGCAGCGGCGACGGGAGCTTCCCAAAAAGACTTGGCAAGCTGGCCTCGCCTGCTTCCATCCTGGCCCATTCACTTCCATGCTCCACAACATTGCCGACAAGTCGCGAAGCACGTGCTGCGCTACTCAATATGGTTTTCATCGTCCTGTCGTCTGGTATGCAATCATTTGCCAAGCGGTACACGCCCTTTGGACATGCGTCTCGAGCGGCGGCATGTAAGCTGTGGCCGACGGGGAGCTGCGAGGGGCTGCGAGCCACATCACAGCTAACCGCATCGCGTAATCACGGAGCGAAAGTGAGGGCGAATATACGTCAAGCGGTCAAGTATTCTTCTCTGTTATACCTTCCTCTCTACTTCAAGAACACACCCTTCCACATACGTGAGGCTCCGACGTGAAAGGATGGCAGACTCCAAAGGAGCCACACACAACATCACCGCAGAACCGCCACAAGAACAGCACGGACATGCACAAGAATCCATCGCCCCAAATGTGACAACAACACCACCAACCCTCGACCACCTCACCATAATCGACTCCCAAGAAACCCGTCCCCCACGAACAAAATTCCGCCTCGCCCTTATCCTATTAGCCCTTTACCTCGCCCTCTTCATCGCCGCCCTCGACCACACAATCGTCGCCACCGCAATCCCCACAATCTCCTCCGACCTCCAATCCGCCTCCGGCTACTTCTGGATCGGCTCCGCCTACCTCCTCGCCGACGCCGCAGCAGGTCCCATCTGGGCCAAAATCAGCGACATCTGGGGCCGGAAACCCGCGCTCTTATCCTCTGTTGCCTGGTTCTTCGTCGCGAGTATTATCGCCGCGAGAGCACATAATGTCGAAATGTTAATTTCTGCGAGGGCATTGCAGGGGACTGCGGCGGGAGGGTTGATTCAGTTGGTGAATATTACGATTTCGGATCTTTTTAGTATGAGGCAAAGGACGTTGTTTTTGGGAATGGTGAATGTTGTCTGGGCTTTGGCTGGGGGGATTGGGCCTTTGGTGGGTGGGGCTTTGGCGCAGTATGTTAGTTGGAGGTGGTAAGTGCAGCCTTTCATCCTGAGTGCATCTTCCAAGGCTGACGCACTGATATCTGATGCAGGATCTTCTGGCTCAACCTCCCCATCTGCTTCTGCAGTTTCGCCATGCTCCTCATCTGGCTCGACGTGCACAACCCCCGCACAAAACTCACCTCGGGCCTCATAGCCTTCGACTGGCTCGGCACAATCTCCATCGTCGGCGTAGTCCTCATGCTCCTCCTGGGCCTCGACTTCGGCGGCGTAGTTTTCCCCTGGAACTCCCCCACCGTAATCTGCCTCATAATTTTCGGCGTCGTAATGGCAGCTCTGTTCCTCTTCACCGAGAAAAAAATCGCAAAATATCCTCTAATGCCGTTAGAAATTTTCAAGAACCGATCCACGAGCGCGGCATTTGCGGTTTGTTTTTGTCATGGAACGGTTTTCATTGCTGCGTCTTATTATATGCCGCTTTATTTTCAATCGGTCAAACAAGCTGATCCTCTTCGTTCTGGAGTTCTCATCCTACCATACGCGATTCCGGAAGCTGTCATGGGAATCGTCAATGGTTTCATCATGCTCAAGACAGGACATTATCGAGAAATTATCTGGGTGGGACTTGTGCTTCTCACAATCGGAACAGGACTCTACAGCAGTTTGACAGAATCCACATCGCTGGCTACAGTCATCGGATTCGAAATCATTGTGGGATTCGGATCGGGTTGTCTTTTCGAAGCTCCACTTGTTGCAGTTCAAAGCACAACACCTCAAGACGATACTGCAGCCGCTACAGCAACTTTCGGTTTCATTCGGAATGTCGCGACGGCAATGTCTCTTGTCCTCGGCGGGGTAGTGTTTCAGGATGGGATGAACAAACGAAGTGGAGAACTAGAACGAGCAGGACTCGATGGCACTTTGATAGGCGCGTTCTCGGACAGCAAAGCAGCGGCGAATGTGGAACTTATCAAGACGATTCAAGATACGATGCAGAGGGAAGTAGTGGAAGCGGCTTATGCTTGGAGTATTCGGCATATGTGGATTATGTACTGTGCGCTTTCTGGGACGGGTTTGCTGGTTTGTGTTTTTATTGCGCATCGGAAGCTTAGTACGGAGCATACGGAGACTAAGACGGGGCTGAAGGGCAGAGTGCCTGCTGCACAGTCGCAGGTGTAGAGGTGGCTTTTATCCTTGCCAATCTTGAAGTCATATTCTCTTCACCTTGCCTTTGGTCTGCCCTGCTTCTTGCTCGAAGCTCGTACATCGATTGCGCGATGTTGTGTAGTCTTTTCCAAAGGACGGTAAGATGCACAGATTTGTATGGATCTCATTGAGATCAACCAATGTAAAAGGCATGGACTTGCAGAATCACGCGCCAGTCCATGTAGAAGGCATGATTGCGCATTACCTGTTCGATTGCTAGTCGAACTTTCGCCAACCATATACGCCTCTTCCTCCTACGCTTCTGAACTCAAGGATCTCATCTGGACGGTAATCTTGAAGGCGCCTTAATCGGCTATATAGCGCAGCGAAAGGGTCCACAGCTTGAGACGACCCTCCTGAAAGTGTTCCTGCTCGAGAGTCTTGCACTATCATCGGCGGCATCAAAGGTCCGCCTTGCCTTGTGCGATATTGAACTCCTGGGGCTAATGACTCCTAGTTGGGCTGGCCAGGGTCCGGTATGTCAATGTTATTGTTGGGATTTGGAGGCGGCATGACGTTCGATAGATCTCCTCCGTTCTGCATGCCACCATTGTTTTGCATGCCACTATTGGTCTGCATGCCACCATTGATCTGTGTGGCGTCAAGCTGACCTGTCATGCCAACCATTCCGCCATCAAGAGGCTGCAACATTGGGTCAAAGGCCATGAGCTCCGGTGGCATGCTGTACAAGCTGTAGATCCGGCCATCGAGGGAGTCGCCATCGAACAGAGCGAAGTTCTGAATTGGCTGTTCACGGTTGCCCAATACGTTGATGACATCTTCACTGAGGCGACCGCCGACAAAGGCAGCAGTGGGTGTAATCTCGGAGCCTATATTCTGCATGAAGCTCTTCAAAAACTCGCCGTTGAGAGTGTCAGGAGGCAGCAATAGCTCCGCAGTCTTCTGTTTGGCAAGCTCGGAGAATCTGATGATGTGCTCCTTCCTGTTGAGGTCTGGCAGTTGTGACTGCTCGCGCTGGAAATCGAACAGTGCGCGTAGACAAGGCAAGAGCGGCGACACAGCTTTGAGCTTCCTACGATTGCTCATAACTTCCATCGGCAGTGGCGACGAGTTGGCCAGGATAAGAGGGCAGTAGACTTCAGCCTTCTTGACGATCTCGGTGGTCTTCCCGTTGTTCTCTTTCCGATTCGTGACGCTGACAACAGATCGAGTCATTGTTTCTGCTTTGATAGTGGTGGGCACATTCGACTTCTCGCGCTCGATCACGAACTCATGGCCCACCAGATCCGCGAAAATGTAGCCGTAGAAGCCGTGAATGCCAGCGGCATAGAAGGGCCGGCTCGCGAATCGTGCAGCAGTGTTGATAGTTGAGAGGGTCATGATGTCGTGATCACAGGCAATCACACAGCTGAATGGAGCATAGTAGGTCTGATCCTTCATCAGGAGATCTTGCAAGCTCCCTTCAGATCTCACCTTCACACGTGGATTGAGCTCTTGTATCCTCGGAATGGCTGCTTCGGCGCGCTGCGAGATATCAGTATCAACGACGATTTGAATTTGCAGAGATGCTCACCGGCTTCCCGATGTCCTCCTCTCGCAGGAAAAACTGAGCTCCAAGGTCATCTTCTGTCACTTCGTCGCTGTCAACGATGGTGAGCTCCTGGATGCCCGCGAGAGTGAGATTCTTTGCAATCTCTGTGCCAACAGCGCGAAGAGATATCAAAAGAACTTTGGCTCTTCTGATCTGCTCTTGTGCTTTCGCGCCCCAGAGTCGAATTTGTCGATCGTACAGGGCCATTTCGTCGGCGCTCAGACCCGGCGCGACAGTTCCTTCGGCATCTCCATTCATCGTCGTGGTGTCAAAATTGTGACCATTCACGCCGTTGGCTGAAGCTTGTGGAGTGTCTGCTGCGGGCATGGTTGCTTCCATCGTGGCCATGGCGAATGCTGGCGCTCACTTGACTACCTCGTGGCCCCAGGTGCTCCACGTCGGCCTGACTCCAGTTGTGAATCGCGTGGCACGGCCAGAACTAGGATGCGCCGGAAGTGCTTGTGGGTTGCCTGGGCCTTCGATAGATGCGTACTTCTCAATATGAAGCTAGTTGGATGCGCGGATGGAGATGCCTGTGCTGGAAAGTGCTGTAGAAGACACGGTGACAAGTGATGGCGGAACAGATGTTGATGTCGCGGAGTGGAAGGCGCATGCCAAGATCGAGGAGGCCGTGCCGCTAACTTAGAGTTTCCGGTTCGGCGCGCTGTGCAGTCAGGGTCTGTGCCGAGCCGCCGAGCGACATCGTCACTGCAGGGCGCATGGCACGAAGCGTGAGCGGGCGTCTCTGTCATTGTGGCAGGCAGTCTGACACGCCAGTCCAGCATCTTGTGAACGTCGACACCTCCGCGCTTGGGAGCGAGACCGTCTGTTCACGCGGATGATCACCCCATCACGAGACTCCGCCCGCACATGCTGCCGCCGTATTGCTCCCGCCATTGTTGCCTTCTGCCCACCCCAACCGCGCCGCCAGAGCGGACAGCGCCCGCCGTTGCGTGATGCCTGACCCAAGGCCGTTTGCCTCGATTCGGGTATGCTCGCACCCTGCTCCTGTACCATACTGCGTATTCCGCGGGAAAGAGTCACTGATGTGGACGTACAAAGGGACGCTTTGATGACCCGCCCGCATCGGAGTCTTCCACCCCACGAAGTCGCCGAAACCGCCTCCATCACGCGTTGCAAGCTACCGCAGACATGACTCCTGGTGACATGTCTGATCTTGGAGCTCCGCCAGCACGCCCACCGCCGCCTCTTCCTCCTCTCGGACGATCGCCGCGCTTCCCCATGCAACGACGCCGCCAACGCTCGCCCGGCTCAGATGATAGAAGCACATGGAACGAGGACAGCGCTGGCAGGCGAAGGCCCAAGCGCAGGAGGCTGGACTCGGAGGCCTCGGTTCTTCCCAAACAACCCATCAAGTATGGGCATTATGGCCAAGTAGAGCCTGGCAAGCTGAAGCTCGACATCGTCAGCTGCGACGGCGGCGAGCACCGAGACCCGCGTCATCCTCAGACCTATCTCGGTTCTGACAATTTGCTGCGACACGACAAGAGTGTCTACTGCTCTGATAGACCCAGCAGCAGTATCATCCTCCAGCATGCTGACGACACGCCCTTCTGCTTGGAGAAGCTGCACATTTGCGGGCCCGAGCATGGCTTCACTGCCCCGTACTGCCTCTCCTTGCCTCGCTGTTGAAACCCTACTGACCATCTGCAGTGTTCGTGAAGGTCTTGTCTATGTAGCAATGACTTGCAAAGACCTCAGCAAGTACATGGATCCGCCACAGCACGCCAGACTGAACGGCGTGCATACTCCGCCTTACCGACGGCGGCGCCCTAGAGTCGCGCCGGCGTCTGAACGCATAACTCTGTCTGATGCCCTTCGTGACCCCGAGGTCAGTGCTGCGCTCGACCGAGAACGCAGTTACGCTGATCGTGCTGATGCTGCACACGACCTTGCGGGCGAGTCAAATAATGATCATGATGATGATTACTACAACTTCGATCGGCAAGATCCAGACATACACTGTGACTTGCCGTCTGTCGGAGCAGATGCTGACTATTTCGCCATGACTGAGGACAGCCTGCCTGTGACTTTACTTAGCGATGAAGAGCCCGGTCCGGAGGAGAGCTCATCACAAGAAGTGCTCGACTTCCGGCTCCATCGTTTACGCCATATGCGGCGTCGTTACGAAGCAGACAATTGGGATCGTGATCGAGCTCGCTGGGCTGGTATACCGCGAGAAGAGCGTAGCAACGACTCGTGGAATCTCCGCCGGCTGGATGCCATGATGGCACGAACGAACATGGCAGGATCTCCTCAGCAGGATGAGCTCGATGAGCGCGACAACGCATCTCAGCAAGGTCCGGAGCCAGGCTTCGGTCCTTCATATTACCAACCCCCAACAGACGACGAAGCAGCGGGGGGCACTGAGTATTATGATGACGGTCTGAACGATCCGAATGTCACCCGAGCTCGCTTTCACATTCGAAGGGGCAAGTACAAGGTTGCGATCAAGTTCGATCCTCCAGTATCTGGACGATTTATCTTGCTCAAGCTTTGGGCAAATCGAAGTAACGTGGACGTGCAAAGTATCATAGCTAAGGGCTATGGCGGAGCGCGTTTCTTTCCCGCTGTAGACTTTCGGTAGTATGATGACGATGATGAGCGATGATGGATGATGGATGATCTTTACGCAGCGATACATTCTTGGATCAATGGAAACTGAGAATCCTGGACTGTCAGAAGGGTCCGTAAGGTGTGCCAATTTATTAAAACCTCTACAGTGCCCGGCGCCGTCCAATTCGAATCGCGCAAGCTTTCGAGACTCGTCGTTCGTGCTATGTCTGGCATCAACACAGCATGGATTCGGGTTTCGATTTTGTCTTCGAGCTTGTCACCGACCAGTTTATCAATTACGAACACCAAACATAGCAGTTGTCAGCAAACGACTCACTATGCATAGTCGCGCGCCTGAATGCCCGTGGTAGCCGGGTAGACTTAGAACAAGTTCTCAAAATTCTTACCATATAGTCTGCGATCCCTGACTATGGCACGGGATCCTTCCTTTTTGGGCAATGAACTTACAGATACTTAGGGCTGACACAACTGTCTATGATCGCGACGCAGACACAGACCGAGTATTAGATTTAGCATATCCTTACTGGGCGGCACTTGGCAACTATGGCGCCGGTACATACTCTTATTAGACAATGAGCTTCGGCTTACTTAGGGCACATCCATCCCGTAGGTGCATTGGCCATTCACAACATCGCCCGGAGTCTTGGTTTGCATGCTACAGGAGCATTGTCTATAGTCCGACGGGAACATACCATTGGCGATATCGCACATCCCTCGAGGGGAGACTAAGTCGAAAACGCAGTCTGCTGTCTGCACAGTGGAGATACTGGGAACTCATAGCATCAGGGGCGATTTAGCAGTCCCAATTCGGAAGCTGATTGCTTTCGTCCTCACTCGAGTGTCGAGACGTCAGCGGTAAATCCTCCTACCATCTTCCAAGTCCTTACACTACGAGAGTGACGACGCTTCCGCTTATGCTCTGACTGTATGTGGCGCTGTCGTATCTTTGCACGGGCGATAGATCATGGATGTACCATCACAGAGCACTCCGCAGAGCAACGATTCTCGGTCCAAGAGCAATATTCAGCAGGCTGCAAGGAGTTGCGTTCGCACGTAACCAATCCAGAATTCCTTTCGACACGGCGTGTCAAGCTCTCCGACACTTCCCTCCGCGAGAGAATCGACATATATAAGCGGTATGTTCGTTCATCCTCTCGATGATGGTCATCAAATGCTCAGTTCACCATCGCCTTCCACCCAACGACGTTCTACCCGATCAACCAACATGAAGCCTACTCTTATGCTCGTAGCCCTTGCGGCGATTGCCAACGGAGCTTCCATCCCTAAAGACCAATATGACCCCTCTGCTGCCCATCTGCAAGTGTCCGGTCAGTTTCAACCTTCTTTTTCAACGCAAAAGCACAAGCTAAATTCTGCTCACACAATAGCCGGAGATCCTCATCATCAGTCACCAGATCAACCAACTCGTCATCAAGACAATCCGACTGCTGCTGGTCGAACCAAACAAATCCAACCCCGAGTTACTCAAGACCCATACGGGCCGGAGCCCAAAGATTCGGATATCCTGACAGCAGAATACGTAGACGGCATAAGATACGTGTCCTATGGAGCTTTGCAGAGAAACTCCGTTCCATGCTCTCGTAGGGGAGCTAGCTATTACAATTGCAAACAAAGTGGGCAGGCGAACACATATGGACGTGGCTGTAATCAGAATAAAAAGTGTAGGAGTAGCCGTCGTTAGTAGGATTGAATAAGATGAGAATTGCACGAGGATGAGGGAGTCTTTGACCGACGGGCGTGAAGGAGTTCGTAGATGTAGCACCCGCCAGCTAGCTCTGCGAACCGGAGATGTCTTGTTAGGGCCGATCTTTCACATACGTGCCTTCCATTGCGAGCGATACTGCGAGAGAAGGAGGCCGATATGATGCACTCTCCGTAGACTAGAGACCAATTGATCGGCTCTCAGAGTTCGTGCACTCTGAGGCACGCTGGAGTTGTGGTGATCTCAAGGCTGAGACTCGTGTGGATTGACAGAGTCAACCAAAGACTCGTCACATAGCTCCAGATATCGTGACCTTATTCTCAAGGCGCATCATTCTTGCAGATGCCTTACACTGCAAGCGACCGGAATAGATAGTACGAGATCTGTCCCGAAGGACGATGCATCACTTGCAAACGAGGAGTAACTCTTATTGCTCTCCGATTTTTGAAATGTGGAAATCTTCAGACTTGGGCCACTCCGGTTGCTGAGAGTTAAATGCAGTGGCAGAGAACGATAAGTGCATCAGTTGGCTCCAAGATTTAAGAACTTTTTGTCGTGAGCAATCGCTTCTGCGAGTGCCTTTCGTTGCGAACGATTGGGCGAGAAATAGTCCTGTATAACGATGAATGAGCTTCAGAAACGGAGTAGACTTCATCGCTCTCCTGCTCTCCAATGTAAAGCACATCTGTGCTGTAATGATACGGTGGCTGAGATTTGAATGAAGTAGCGGAGTCAATTGAGTCCATTAGTTCGCTCTGAATTTCGGAGATGTATTGTCAAGAGCGATCTTGCCATGCACTTGCTTTCGGTTCTGTGAGATCGGGCGGGAATGCAGCATTTGACTCAAAAGAAGGAAGTGTCATGTAGAAAAATAGAACGTGAACCTTGTCCCGCTTCACCTGTCTCTGGAACTTCGGCGCCGAATCACACAAGAGTTGTCATCATTTGGCGGCTGAAGGCTTTGGCAATGCAGCAGAGAGTGAAGAGTCCGTCAGCTCGCTCTACGGACCTGAAGATGCGTCCTTGCTAGCTTGTGCACGCACGTGTCTTCTGTTATGAGCAATAGTCGGAAACAACCGGCAGGACCATTCGTAATGTGGAAAGAAGGAGTGGTCTTGTTTCAGTTTTCTCTACTTCTTATTTCCTAGATACGAACTATAGCAGCTTTGTTACAGTTTGGTTGCAGAGAATGTAGTTAAGCGGCAGAGTCACTCGACTGCTTCAGCTTACTCTGCCAGTCCGAAGATGTATTCGTGAAGGCAATCGGTCGAACTGGCGCCTTGAAAGCTGCGCGACTGGGTGAGAACACAGGTATTCAGCCCGCGGCTTCGTCTAGCTCTTATTTCTCGAGTGTGGAGTACTGTGGAGTTATTGCCATAGTGTGGCTGAGAACTGTAGTCAAGTAATAGAGTTAATTGGCTTTTTCACTTTACTCCCCGATCTAAAGGTACGTTCTCGAGGGCAATAGGTTGCATAAGTGCCTTTCGATTATGCTCGAAAAGACGAGCATGTAAAAAAGACGAGCATGTAAGCATTTACTGAGCACATCCGCGTAGTTCAGATTTCTCGAGCGTGAAACACGTTAGCAATATAGTCAGTCGGCGGCCGAGAGTCCGTTTAAAAAAAAAAGAAGCAGTTGAATGTTTCACTTCACTCAGCCGATCCGAAGATACGTTCTCGAGGGCAAGAGCCTACACGAGTGGCCTCTATGACACCCGCAAGGCCGAGAGCGTAAGCATTCAGCCCAGAAACCCACTTATCTTGCATTTCACGAGTGCGAAGCACCGAGGTAATATGGCGATTTGGCAGCCGACAGTCCTTTCAAAGCAGCAAAAACACTCGACTTTTTCACCTCGCTCTGCATATCTGAAGGCACTTTGTCAGGGCCGATGCTTCACACTAGTTCCTCGCATTGTTCGAGTAAAGGAGAGAATAGAAGAATTCAGCTAGGAAACTCGTCTATTTCAGATTTCTCGAGTGCAAATGACCTTGACATTTTTATGGTTCCGCGGCTGAGTGACAATGTGAGGTAATAGAATCAATTGACTCCTTCAGCTCGCTCAGCAATCCGCAAGGACGTCGCCGAGGGCAATCATTCACACGCATGCCTTCCATCGTGCACAAACGGGCGAAACCGCCATGCGGGCCCGTTTCATATCGCTTCACTTCACCAAAATTCGTCCTCGAAACCTCAAAATACGTGACAATGACACACAACTGAAGGAATTTTCTCGTAATTTCTCGTTCATTTCGTAGCTATTCTAGCATCTGACACTTCCTCGTAGCACCCAATCAAGACCACGCTTGCTGGAATGCGTATCGTGTCCTCAGAGTCATATACTTTTCGTAGCCAATTCTCAGCTCATTTCAGTGCTCATAGCACGCGCAAGATGTCTCGTCCACCAGCAATCTATCTACTCGCGATGCGCCAAGGAGCGTTGATGGAGTGGCCGGAGGGGAGGGAAGGAAGAAAGGAAGGAGAGGCGACAGAGACCTACTCCTCCTCGCCAGGAGCGTCCTCCTCGCCGTCGGCGGCGGCCTCGGACTTGACGGGAGCCTATGTCATGTCAGTAGCTGTGCTGAATATGTATTGGACCATGAAACTTACCTCCTCAGTGCCGTTCTCCTCGCCGTTGACAGCAGCCTTCTTCTTGCGTGGCTCGGCCGGAGCCTTCTTGGTTAGAGAGCCGTCGCCGTCGACAGCGTTCTTCTTGCCTGGCGTCTTCGCCTTCTTCGAAGACGTGCCCTCGCCGCCGTCGGCGCCGTCCTCGTCGTCGGCATCCTTCTTAGTGCGCTTCTTGGAGGGCGTCTTTGATGGCGTCTTCGGAGTCTTGGCTGTGGCAAAGTGTCAGTCGAGTATGAAGTAGTGATTGGGTGCTGCGACGCGACGTACCAGCAGCGCCCTCCTCGCTGTCAGGATTGTTGGCGGCCAGCTTCTTCTTGAGTGCGCCCCACTGGTTCTGGGCGGTCTTCTTCGTATTGAAGCCACCAAGCTTCATGAAGGTGTCCATGTCAATGTCTGGTGGGCCACTTAAAGGGGGTGTCAGCAGAGTGTAACGTGACAGGGTTCGATGGGGACGGACCTCTTGAGGGAGCCCATAGCGGCGAGGATGAGCTTCTGCTCGCGCATGTTGAACAACTCGCTGTCACCGTTTGGGGCGCCGGAAGCCTCAGACATGATGGCGGGTGTTGGGTGGTGAGAGTGGGTGGTTGCTGTGAAGGGCAAGTCAGTCAGTGTGCGGTCGCGGGTGACGGCGGAGTTGTCGAGCTTCGATGAGGGCATCTTACAAGTAGAGGGATGTGTTGATGTGTAATGGTTTGATGTTGTGGTTGTTGTAGCGGTCGAAAAGCTCGATGGTGCGAGTTTGTGACTGTGTGAGGGAAGAAAAGGGATAGGGCGGGAAGGGAAGAAAGGCGGGACCCAGGCCCCCAAACAAACGCACCATCAGAGCTGCCTTCCCATTGGCTCCTATTTTACTGCGCAACTCCTGGCCTGTTTGATTGTGGGAATCAATCAAATCGGCAGTGAAGCTCCCTGAAGATTGTGCAGCCTCTGGCCCAGCCATTGGGAACTATTGTCGTCACCAGTGCATGGGCGTTCCCGCCATCAACGGTACGCGCATGGGAGGGCTGCTGCTGCCTATCTCTCAGCGTAGGTGCACGCATGCTGGAGTTTGCAACAACTCTTCTAGCCTCCAGACCTCCTATTGTTGGTACCGCCAGCCCTGGGCACTCTATGCCACGACCGAACGAGAGATCCTGCAGAGCGCGCTCCCGAAAACAGCTTGGACATTCGCGGATTCCCTTTCCTGGCCACGCAAAAGCTCGACCGTACGAGTTCTCGCCACAGTTGAAGATTTAGCAAGGCGCCCGATGGCCGCCATGCCAGTCAAGTGAAGGAGACCGTTGGGCAGCTGCAGACCTTCCTTCCGCATCGCAAGGCGTGCTGAGGATCAAGCGAAGGGGCATCGTGTGATCGCTGGCGATGCCGAAGCCGCCTGTTGAGGCCGAGGAGAAGCTCTGCGGTGGCAGCGGAAAGGGAGAGACGGTTCTGGTTCACACTCGAGGCAAGCATGAGCAGCACTTGACCTGGAGGGCATTCGATCGATATTGGGGAAGAGCCTCGTCGTACGGATTACTTCGTTGCCAGCGATGCAGCTCACAAAGCTCAAGACCTACCCTTTGCGCTCATCTAGGAGCGAGGAGCTTAGCATATCGCACTGCCTCCCGGACAGTGGTGGCTCCTACACAAGTACGAGTGGCAACATTGATGTGCCCATCGTCCTTCGACTTCCTGATGAGGCCCGATACAGATAGCTGAAGAGGTAGGCGGGAGCAGCTACGTCCTTGCATCGCCGCCTGACCATCAGCAGTGCATCCTCTGCAAAGATGCACGCAGCAGACGTGGACGTGAGGAGCCCGAGAAACTTGCTTCTTCACTCAAAACTCGCTGCCCAAGAACACAGCATCTTGCACTGCGATTGGACATGCGCAACCTGGCCTGGGAACATCTCCCAGCGGAAAGCTGCTGCACATGCCGTCGTTGATCAGGTTCTCCATGGTGAAGGTGTTGTCAAGCTGCTCATGGCGATGCTGCTCGATGGGAGAGAACCTGGACTTTGCATATGCTTGTTCAATGCGGCGTTGTCTGCGACCGCTCGATGAAAGGCTTGCGAGCGTTGGTAGGACTGGCCGTCTGCACCATGTTGAACGGCAACGAGAAGCCGACGGGCATGCTGGTGGGATCTTGCTGAGCGACCATGCCTGCACTTGTGGTGTGTCGTAGCAAGATACTTGTGCGATGTCTGGAGCACCAAGGCGGATGAGGGTGGAAGCCCTCTTGACAAGAGTTGACCTGTGAACAGCTGGGTGTTGAGGCTTTACTTTACTGGAGTGAGGCAGTTTCGCCGTTGCAAGATTGCATGTGTCCGTGCGGAACCGTTGGGATGCGAAGTGACGGAAATCATCGAATATCACTTCGCGAGCCAGGATTATTTCAATCACGCCAATTGATCAGGACCTCGTCAGTTCTGAAGCGCTGCGTGCACATGGTCTCCTCCAACTTCGTCCGGAAGCCCATCTCATAGGCCAGCAGACCGGCGTGAGCGATCATGATGCCGTTGTCAATGCAGAAGCGCTCATCAGTGGCAAAGACACTGCCTCCGCGCTCACTTGCCATGATTCCCATCATCTCTTGCAGACGAATGTTGCAGCCCACGCCACCAACAATGAGGACTTGTGCGCTGCCAACGTGCGCCATCGCTCTTTCTGTGATCTCGACCAGCATGGCAAAGACAGTCTCTTGCAGCGTGAAGCACAGATCCTCTCGTGTGATCAGCTCTCCACTCTCTTCGTCCTTCCAGTCTTTCCCCAATCGGTGTGCCATCTCCTCTACCTTGGCAAGTATACCACTGAAGCTCACATCCATGCCCTTCACTGCATACGGGAGCTCCAGCAAGACCTTGCCCTTCTTCGCCAGCTGCTCAATATTGTAACCTGGAGCCGGATCGTTTGGAATCTCGAGCACTCGCGCGAATCGGTCTAGACAGTTGCCAACAGCGATGTCAAGTGCTTCCCCGAAGATCCTGTACCTTTGCGCAGAGTATGCGATAACCTGGGTATTGCCACCCGACACGTACAACACCACAGGATTCTGAGCGCCCGTAATCGCGCGGCCCATCTCAACATGACCTACACAGTGGTTGACACCAACCAGAGGCTTGCCCCAGAGCTGGCTTAGCATTCTGGCAGCGATAGCAACGCTTGACAGAGGAGCACCCATGCCAGGTCCTTGGGTAAAGCATATACAGTCAATGTCCTCAATCTGCACGCCGGCCTGCTTGATAGCCTGCTTGACCAGCCTGACCACCCATCGTCGATGATGAGCTGCTGTGTCCTTGGGCAGGAAGCCTGTACCAGGAGGAGAGTTGAAGGTATGTCTTAGGTTCGAGAGGATCTGCACAGGCTGAGAATCGACCTGTTTTCTCAGGCCATCGTCCGAATGCGCGCTGTCGTGAGGCGATGGCGGAGAAGACAGGGTGGAGGAGTTTGGATGCAGTATCACTCCCACTCCAAGCTTGTTGGCGGAGCCCTCCAGGCCGAGAGCGATAGGCATGGTGAGTGAATGGCTTTGTATCTCTTGAGCCTCGACTCATCAATCTTTCATGTGAAGAGCGATAGTGCGGGACCCGGCCGCTGACGCGCCAAGACATATGACGAAGACCTGGTTTGGACTGCGCCTCGACTCGTGTCGACAACATTCAATGCTGGCGGAACAGCAAGCAACACCGTACACACTCACCGCCACCACTCACTCCGCCCTCACTACCCTCTCCTCCCCTTGACCTTCTTCTTCTCACTTTGACCGCTGAGGCGGCTGCAGCACTTTCCGCGTCGCCGCGGCGCCCAAACCCCGAACACCTCTTTCCGAACACGAGCGAACAACTCAGCCAACATGTCGTGGAGCGGCTTCAAGAAGAATGGTACGGACTGGCACACAATATGGCTGAAGATTGGCTAAACGGTTTCCAGTCTCGCGTGGGACTACCACTTTGATGATGAAGACGGGCCACGTCGAGCGCACGACCGACCGCGAGTTTGAAGTCGAAGAGCGCCGGTATCGTACACTCGAATCCGCTTCTTTGCGCCTGCAAAAGGAAGCCAAAGGCTACCTTGACAGCTTGCGCGCCATGACTGCTAGCCAGATGCGAATCGCCGAAACCATCGACGCTTTTTACGGAGACAGCGGCGCCACGGACGGCGTAAGCAGGAGTTACAAGCAGGCGGTTGAAGATCTCGACGCCGAGACTGTCAAAGCGCTTGATGGGCCTTACAGGTGTGTCGCTCAAGATCCACGTCTTCTGGCTGCGGTCTTCAACGAGGACACCGGCGTCTACGACTACCATGTCGCAGAGGAGATTGAGAGGGAACTCAATTTCAACGCTGGGAACAGGAGGAATTTTACCAGAGACGTGCATTCAAAAAAGGTTAAGAAAGAAGATAAGCTCATTGAGTTTTGTTACAGAACTACCGTGCTGGAGCCCATCAATCGCTTTTGCGCATACTTCCCCGACATCAACGAATGTGAGTAGCCCCTCGAGTCAACGAAGCCAAACATGCACTAATTCTGTCTCAGGCATCAAGAAGCGAAACCACAAAATGCTCGACTACGATGCCATGCGCAGCAAAGTCAAGAAGCTGGTGGAGAAACCTGACAAAGATCCCTCCAAGCTTCCACGCACGGAGAAGGAAACTGAAATGGTAATGTCTGCTTTCGATTCTGTTCGCGGCAGTCGTCAGTTCCCCGACGACTTTGCCGCTTCGCATGACGTTATGATGTCTCCACCACCGCAAGCGCTTGATGGGCTCAAGCACGAGAAGAGGGTTGCGCGGATTCAGGCCGACGAGGAAGCTGCTCTGGGGAGTGTGGGTATTCGGCGGCGCTCAAGTGTGATGAGGCGCGTTTCGCGGGCTAGCACATTGATCAAGAACACGGTTTTGGACGTGGCCTTCGGCTCACCGATCGGAGATTGTCCCCCACCGCGACAGGGACCGAGTGATCCTCATTTCCCGCTGCGGAGTCCTGCCATGAACAAGACGCCACCTTCGACCCTCCGACACTCTGGCCACTTTGACACTCTGCCAGTCGTGCGCGAGGCGTCAAAGGAAGCCTTCAATCTCAGTGGGCAGCTTACTCCCACCCGTCACAGCCGCCTCAGTCCTAACATGCAGCGCGTCCTCGCCACCACTCCAAAGCGCCACACGAGCATGCCACTGCAGAGCTCTCGCGAGTCCAAGGCACTCTCGCCATTACAGCTCTTTACCTTGACCCGCCGAGACTCGTTCTCTTCGAGTGCCCCAAGCAGCAAAGATACCAAGAGAAGTTCTTCCATCTCGATCAGCTCGCGTAAGGACACTGAGAGAAGTGCTTCTGCTCAGTCGGGCCGAAGCGTCTCAACATGCGGTGGCAGCTCAGAGAGCACACGTCCGCTCATTTCGCGCGCGAAGAGCCTGGGGCATAAGACAGGCGACGACACCGCGAAGCCGAAGCTGCGAGTTTCCGTGCCCACGCCCTTCTTTCAACCTTCGGAGCTGGAAGACATCATGGCGCCATTTCGGCAAAAGTTCGCCGAAGAGCAAGCTGACTTGATGGAACAGGCGAAAGCGGCGTACGAACAGCTGAACCAACAGTTGACCGACGAGTTACCGCAATTGATAGACCTTCGGTGAGTGCAATAAGTGCTGGGCCGAGCTGGCGTACTGACTTGAAGACAGCGTACCTTACCTCGATCCGTCTTTCGAAGCTCTGGTCAAGATTCAGCTACGATTCTGTGCCGAGGCCTACAGTCGCATGGCACAAGTTCAACAGTACCTCGACGCTTCAACACGCGACCAGTATGCAAGTGGAGATCTCGATGCTCGTGTGGAAGATGTGCTAGGGCAGATACGCGAGCTCAGCATTGCAGGCACGGTTTAGTCGGAGTCTTTCAAGGCAGCGAATGTCGTCAGTTCAGACGAATAGATGCACCGAGGAGGTAATGACACGTATGAGTATTGCATGATAGCATGGAGACGCGCGGTGTCTGCGACCTACAAAACCGCGGCCAAAAATTTGCATTGCGAGCACTTTCAGTAGCGGCAATGCATAAGAAAAATACCAAATACTGGCTGTCCAGCCCATTCTCAATCGTACACCAGATCGGCGTACACCATATCGCTGAACGCTATGCAACGCTCGCCGACAATGAGAACTCGAGTCATGGCAGGCAGCCAGCGAGCGGAGAAAGATGCCCTACAGTGGTCAATTAAGCAGTAGGAACGCGCGAGTGCCACGAGTTCAGTTCACGAAGTGGCCTACATATTGTCCACACTCTTCAACTCGTCCCCGGCATCAACCCACTCCCCCTCACCTCCTTCTGCCTCTCCGCATTCCCCTCCAACCCAACCAACTGCTTCGGATCCCCCGGAATCACCATCTCAAACAAACTCTCCTCTCTCACAACCGTATACTGATGATACCCACACCTCGCAATCGGCATCGCCTTCCCCAAATCCACCATCCCATCCGTCAGCACACTCTCATCAATATGCACGCCAATAACCCTTCCAATCACAACATCCACACTCCCCATTGGCGGATTACCCGGTAAGCGTAAAGTACTATAATACTGACACTCGAATTTAATCGGACTGGCTTTTACCATGGGACAATCGATGAGATCTGCTTGTTGTTTTTCGAGATTTGCTTTTTGGAATTCGTCGACGGAGGGGGTGAGCCATTCTGCTGAGGCGTTTACGGCTTCGCGGAGGGACCAGGTTGCCATGTTCCAGCAGAAATAACCTGTGGATTCGACGTTGTTGACTGTGTCTTTGCGGTTGTTGTTCAGGTCTTGGTTGGCGGAGAACATTACGTAGGGAGGGTCGAAGGTTAGATTGTTGAATTGGGAGTAGGGCGCTAGGTTGTCGATTCCTTGGGGGGAGCGCGTGGAGATCCAGCCGATGGGGCGGGGGGTCACGCAGGACTGGAGTCTTGTGGTGAGCTTTGGGTGTGTTGATAGAGGTCTGATTTGAGCTTACTTTAAATGGGTCTCTGGGGAGGCCATGAGAGGTTTTGCCTGGTTCATAGAATACCATCTTGCGTCCTCGGTCTTGTTGTTTGACTGTCTGCTTGAAGTTGTGTTCACGCGAAGCTTCGTAAATATGTTGAAGGTGGGTGAAGTGACTAGGTACGAATACGGTACCGAAATCGGCACTTCTCTCGGCAAGGATCAGCGACTTCAACAAAAGAAGCTGGTCATGGGAGTGTTGATGTGGATGAGAACACCTGAAGCTTACAGTATACTGACATTGTCAGGGGAGACAATTTCGACATCGTTCTCGTCTCGGACTGGTCCCGCAAGCGAGTACGCTACGTATCCTCCCATCACAAATGCTGAAACTTCATACTACGGACTCAGCTCGATAGCATTCTCAATGTTCGAGCCCTGTTGCATGGACTGCCGTTCTTCAGTTTGAAGTCGCACTCTAATCCACGCTCCAAACGCTGCCCACATCTCACCGCCAGGTACCGTGCTCCATGTATCGCAGAACCTCAATAGAGCTTCATACCTCTCCCCCCGCTTCGCAACACCTCCAGTAGCTTCTAAAAGCTTTGCCAGATCTACCGGACACAAGTACGGAGGCTGCGCTCCATCCTCGCTCAGCCCCGCCGTGCCTTGCATCAGACAAGCATAGTAGACACAATGATCCATTCCAACACAATGCCCAAGCTCATGCGCTGCAGTCTTGCACACGCGAGAGAACCACAGGCCGTACATGTATGCGGCTGACGTTTTTGCAGGTTTCAAATTCGCCACATAAGCGGCAACGGCAGCGTCCATCGCTGAGTCGGCTGGAAATTGCCTCCGAGCTCTCGACTTCCTTGCAGGCAGCTCGAGGGGCTCACCACTACAGCAAGCGTTCACAAATGCTTGGCAGTGACTCGCCGGCCAGACGTGCTCAGTCTCAATCTCCTGGACTTTGTCCAGCACAGGATTGTATCGCGAGCTGGTGACAACGGCTACACGGCTTCCGCCATAAGCCCTACCGCAGCAGAAATCATCCGGTTCATCCTCGTACAGGTCATGGTCAACAGCCATCAAGATTGCATGCGCATCAGCTGGCAGCATAGCAATCGCAGCGTCCAGAAGATCGTTGAGGTTCAGCTGTCCGGTGAACAAATCATCTTTCGAAGGACGATGGCGAATACCGATGACTTCTTTCCCGATATTGAGACCAATTCGTTCGCGCTCATTGTTCTTCTGCTTTTTACCAGAAGCTTTCTCCCAAGACACGAACTCCAGCTGTGGTCCGTCATACATCTTGACTTCAAGGGGGTGATAGAAAGCTTGAAGATACTCCAGCAAATCTGTAGCTCGCGGTGAAGATAGCCCTCCCGGCTTGGGTCTGGCCTGAGCAACACCCTTTTTAGCATTCTGCAGCTGCGGCACAGCCCATTCTCGAGCGTGTTCGACCTCGGCTGCATATTCTGGATGAGGAACAAGGTAAATAGTACGCCTGTTGGTTTTCGCCGCGACTCTTCCCTTCAAACGACGCCAGGAGTCCAAACTCTGCGGCTTGTATTTTGGATCGAAAGAGAGCTCGTCACCAGGTAATACCAATGATGCCGGAAAGTGCGATGCCTTTACTGATGTTGGTGAAGCGTTGTTGGACTTGCCGTGAGCAGCATGCGTTCTGCTAAGCTCGTTCTGTCTCTCGAAACCAGCTTCGTTTGCATGCGGAGAGGGCTCGAATGTGAGAATATCATGGTTGCAAGTAGGCATTGCGGCTGAGGTAGGAGGAGAATGGAACAAAAGAATACTTGTGACCCGGCTCACCTATATGTATGTTTTGACATACTTCCGCCCAGGCTAAACTAGTGTCTGGGCGACAGTGGCAAGAAGCTCGATTCTGCTGCAGACGTTTGACGTCCTCGGTCTGCCATCTTGATGTGTGGTGAGTCAGTTGATGATGGAGGGACGCGTCGAAGTCAAGTGCAGTCGACGCGTTGGGGTCGAGTTGCTGCCTGGGAGACGTCGCATGCCAATC